TGTCATCATACAGCACTCTGGCGCCCCACGCTCTCATCACACCACGCACCCTACGGTGCTTTTTTCCCGCGGGTAACGTCCCGCGGTGCTAGTCACACCATACGGCGCCGCGTGCCGTTACCGTCCCACGTTGGGCCCCATGCAACTGTTCAGGTCAACATGTTAGTATTATATCTATTGGGCGCACATGAATATGCAACTATTCTGTATATACTTCGCTATGCGCTCCATGAGCGAGGGGAAGGGAGGGATGTTGCAACATCTGGATGCAACACATGAATATGCAACTGTTCTGTGTATACTTCGCTACGCGCTCCATGGGCGAGGGGAAGGGAGGGACGTTGCAACATCTGGATGCAGATTCATCTGTCAGAAGGGCTGTGGGAACACCGTTCATAACTGGTGGACACGACCCATCTCGCCACAAAGTGGGGTCCTTGTCATTGTCCAAACCAGTCGTTTCGTGAGCATCGACTGTCATATTCATGCTGCATCCCACAGAATATTATATTCCCAAGTGCTGTTGCTTTCCCAGACAGAAAACTGAATTCCTTGTGCTGTCCATTGGCGAGCTGCACCGTGCTTGGTGGTATGTATCTAGATCGTCCGGCCATATAAAGACGGGGCAAAGAAGAAGCAGCAGCAGCATGAGGTCCTACGGGACCTAGATGCAAGGCAGCATCTGATGGGCCAAACTCAGTCAGCCCGACATGATGGTCGCATGCTCCCTTTCCATTCAGCAGGACCGTACTATCCGTCATAGCAGCCCAATTGAGGTCCCTATCCTACCCTTTAGTCAATCAGAGCCAATCACAATCACGAACTTCCCCTAGAAGATGGTATGCTGGGCCTGTTTGACTTGCTTGTCTGTTCATAGTCCATATGCCCGAAGCAAAAAGGGCACTGCTGGGGCCTTTGGCGATGCTCTCAGCTCTGTGAAAATCCGCGGAACGATGTCCTGGAGCGCACGCAAAGCTTTTGGCACAAACCCTCGAATCCCTCAGCTTGGGTGGGTATGGAAGGTGCCATGAGTTGAGCAGGTTTTGTGATTCCAGTAACTCTTCTTCAACAGAGTTGGGGCTGGGATGGTCACAGTGGCAAGGGTCCTCATAGAGAAAGTGCATTTCTCCGGGCACCTAAGCACCTATTCTGCCCCAGGCCACGAACAGAACCCGAAAATCTAAACTCTGAACCCAAACCAAGCTCTGTGTCTCCTCGCGAAGTGTAGGAGCCTCCCCTTCCAACCATCCCATCATCCCAGATTTCTGTCCAGAACTGCTTCGCGAAGGTTGCTGGCCTTCATGGCATGCGGTGCCTTAGAGATAAGCACTGCGCACGTTACACAACAGCCATCAAGGATCCATGGGCTTGCGAGTCTATCGCGTCATCCTGATGCGCCCTGCACCCTCGACCTCCAGAAGAACCAAATGGTAACAGGGAGATCAAATGCATCGTTGAGACATGTTGAGGCTACTGACAGGGAAAGAGAAAAAAGTACAGACGTTTGAAGCAGAGTATGGAGGAACGTGCTGGAACGATGTTCGAACAAAATAGCAGATTGAAGAGATCGGAAACAATGTAGAGCTAGACTACAGAGCTGTGGCCTTCAGGGATGCAGTGTGGTCAGCGAGTGAAGATGGCGTATCCAGGCCCCAGGATATCTTCCAAGTGACCCTAAACCCTAAACCCTAAACCCTAAACCCTAAACCCTAAACCCTAAACCCTTCATTTATTTGGCTCCGGACAAGCCTTTGCTGGCCCGGCCTTCCTTGGAAGAGCCCTGTGATGAACGCACTTGACTCCAACAAGGTGTCGATACCACACGAGGTATTGCAGGACATGATGAGCTGAGATTGAGCGCTGAGATTTAGCCAACGCTTGGTATGTCCACAGTTGGAAACCAAGCCAAATGAAGAGCTTTCCGTCTATCCGGATGCAAATTCGGAGGCTGTTATCCTGACATGCTACTGTGCACACATGGGACGAGTTGGATTCAGCTGAGGGTTTGTTGTTCGTCAGATCGAGTTGGCGGCGCATGTTATGAAGCGTCCGGCCAAGGCCCATCAGGGTCCGAGACCCCGCTCGTGACAGGTTATACCGTGGACTAAGTAAGACTCAGACCTCGTACCGGCCCCAGATAAAGACTCAGTGCAGCACCAGGACTTCGAAAAAACCAGCGCGCCAGTCGTCGACTGGCTCGTCGACTACCCTGCACATGTGAGACCCATGAATGTCGCATGTCTTGGACTATCCTTCCAGTTCTTTTCTTACACAACTTGGCCCACTACTTGTGATACTTACATGCCAGTGTGCGTACAAAGGTTACGTGATTCTGAAGAACATAGACGCAAGCACTGGGCTTCAAGGTGTGGTGCTTTGGGCTCTGTCACGCATGCAAGTTTAAAGCACACAAACAAACAAACAAAACAAACAGATTCAAACAAACAAGCACACACACACACACTCACACTCACACTCACACACACACACACAGACGCACGTCGGCAGCAGCCCGGAGAGATGGAGCAGATCCCTGTGATGGGGTTACGGCTAAGGAACCGTTGTTCAGTTTCAAGCCCTTGCTGAGGGTCAGGATTTAGGAGCTCCAGATTCGTTAATTAGACATCGCTACGCAGCCGAAAGGCATGATGCCTGTGCACAACGATGCCTTCCACACTGGTGCTAAAGCCTCCACGCAACCAGCCCAGATCAGATGCGCATACAAGCTTGAACATCTCCACGAGATTCTAAGCCTGAAATAGAGCACAGCGAAAGGGCCTGTACGGGAGCACCTCTGACAGAAATAGCTCCTGGTCAGCCACAGCTCCCAGGATATCTACCCGAACCTACCCAGGTGCAAGATTCAAGGGTCGACAAGTGCTCACGACTCATGAGGTGCCAACGGAAGGTCTCCATGCGTGTGGACAGAGCACGGGACATGTTAGGAACAAAGTCTACACACGCATGGACAAGCGGCACCTGACCGGTCATCCACGTCTGTTGACTACTTGTTCAACATCAGTGGTTGGCTCAAGGTCAGAAACAAACAGTAAGGGACTTGATAAAGCTCTGAAGTAATTGGTTTTGGGGGATCTTGGGGTTGGGGGTTGGGGTTGCGGTTTGGTGGGGGTGCAGGATTGACACTCGGGAGGCTTCGTTGGGGTACCGGGCAATCATTGTTGAAGTTGTGATCCTAAGGTAAGGCTTCAGGGTTGCGGGGTCATTAGCTGAGCAGCCTGCAAGACACACATGCAAGCGCTTTATAGTCGTAGTGGAGCGGCGCTCTCAGGATCTCTGCATGAGTACAGGTTGCCTGCGCCCGTTCGGCAGCAAGCAAAACACAGCGAATTGCTGGACAACTCCTCCATTTAGCGGCTTACGCATTTGGGGGGGGTTTCCGAATTAGGGGTACCTTCTTGGGGTCCTTAGTATAAGGGGATCCTCCTACTATTAGGATATATATATATATAATCATATATATATATATATACATATATATATATACACTTTTTTTTAAATCTATTGTGGGCAAGGCCATAACTTTGGGGAGCCAGCTGCCGCTGATTCATTGTGAGGACGAGCTGGCCCGGGTGGTTTGGGAAACGCTTCTAAGGGCTCCAGCACCAGCAGCCACTTTACAGTTGAGCAAAAGCAACTAATATAAGGGCCTTAATAATTAGAATAGGGTTTAGGGGGTTTTTTGAGTGTAGTGACAAAGGGACCATGAGGGAACACTAGGAACACTAGTAGTCATCATTCCGACTCCCTATAGTACAGCATACCTGCCATCCATGGCAACCCTGAGCCTTTTGACTTCCCCTGAGCCCTCTTACATCCGGGCAGGACTCCTGCGGCCGGGCCTCTGAGCCGAACATCTTGAACCCCGAACGATCAAACCCACACAACGTGCATGTTGCACTCCGCAGCCCTAGATGCTGAACCCACACACAGGTATGCAGGCATTGCGGCATTCAACTTCTGGAAACCTGCTGGAAGTCTAAACAGGAAAATAGAGTAGACGGCTAAAAAAGGTTTTCAAGTAGCATCACCAGTCTTGCTGCACACTTAGCCTTAGGGGGCGAGGTCGGGGGTGTCTTCGCGCAGCTTCCAATCTATGATATTCCTGTGAAGCAATCAGCTTAATAACCACTTACATCCACACAGGGGCTGCAGCCCTCAGAAAGCGCGACTGCGAGTTTCCAAATGTCAAGGCCCACCATTTTCTTAGACTGGATAGAAGAATTCGGGCTCGACGGAAGGGTTAAGGCGCGTCCAGCGGTGCTTTTGGAAACTCAACACCTCTTGCTTCGTGTGACACGTGGTGTTGCTCCCCTGTGGGGCCCTTTGAGTGTCGTCCATACATGCTATACAGCACAGGAGCCCTGGGGGGGGCAAGGGGATACTTACTTGTGCCCCTGCTTAACTCTTGAGAAAAAAGATGTCTACGTGGCGCGCCCGTCCCAGAAAATTCTCTGTGGGGGGGGGGGGGGGGGGGGGGGGGGGGGGGCCGGGGGCGGCTGGCTTTCTGTTGATGATGCTTCTTTAAACCGCTCAAATCAACAATATTTGGGCATTGGTCACGGCTGGCCCCGGCATGGTTCACCATGGCTCACCCCACTGCGTGATCACAAAGTACTGGACCCAAACCCTATGAAGCCTAAACCGTCACACTCACTGGGCCCATGCACGAGGGAGATTAGATTCTCCATGTCTTGAGCTGAGCTCCTTCGGAGCTCTGGATCTGACTTTCGGGCATTGCAAGCTTTGTTGGCTTAGTAGGGGGATGGGGGGGCGTGTACAAATTCTACATCTTGGGAAAGAATGGTTGGAGGCGACTCCACAGGATCTGGGTCTTTAAAACTTTACGACGTCAACCCTAAACCCTAAACCCTAAACCCTAAACCCTAAACCCTAAACCCTAAACCCTAAACCCTAAACCCTAAACCCTAAACCCTAAACCCTAAACCCTAAACCCTAAACCCTAAACCCTACCATGGGACCTACTGAAGAGACACCATGGACTGTACGGAGGCCGTCTCAGACACCTGCTCATTCACCTCCTCGATGCCTCGGTTGGTGCATGGTCATGCGGGGTTCAGAAGGCCAGGGTTTAGGGTTTAGGGTTTAGGGTTTAGGGTTTGGGGTTTAGGGCAGTATGGAGAACACAAGGGCTTAACCATGCCCCTGTGCCGTTGGAGTGGAGATCACGCCGGTTTATGGATGACGGCAAACCCCCCAATCATCAGCGGAAGGCTGCTGGGCGCCAGATAAATTGGATGTCCGCCGTCCAGGTCCAGGTACCCAGCCGAATCCTGTAAAACCGTGAAGATCAAGGTAGCCGAGCTTTGAATTGCAAAACCTGCTTTGTGCACCCTGGCCAGCTGGACGCTGCGACCGTTAGGCCACAGGCAGAATGCTGTGGACTGTAGGGCTAAAGCTGCTTTGTGACACCCTAAATCCCAAACCCCAAACCCCAAACCCCAAACCCCAAACCCCAAACCCCAAACCCTAAACCCTAAACCCTTCCGAGTTGTATTTAGGGCCAAGACCCAGAACATGTGCCCGGTCCAAGGCACCATCGCTCTCGACATCGAAGTTTTCAGCATAGTCGTGTTCACGGCTTCCTTCTGTCACCCGATCCTCGGAAAAAGCGGCGGCAAGCTTGCAGAATCAACTTTTGATGTACGAGGGCTTTATGTAGACTTTTGGGCTTGATCATGAGAGAGAAACTACATGTCGTCATAAAACGCGTGGGCTGCAAGCTGCACACATCTTAGCAGGCTACACAAATCTCAGCCGACTTCGTCTTCATGATCGACAACGGCCCAAAGTGCTGGATGAACGACGACAAAAGAAAGATTGCGTCGGAGGCACAAGGCAACTGTGAAACAAGCTCATGGACCCCTCTTTAAGCACCGGACGGACCGAGGAGGCTGGGGCCCCAACTTCCCTAAGCCTGCATAAGTCCTCATAAAGACCCACACAACACTAGAGACTAAAAGATTCCTAACTATTATCCTCTTAAACCCAGCAAGGGAACATAGGAAATGTCCCCTCCCCAGGGGCCTACCTGCTAGAACCTCAAGCAAACCCCCGAAGATGTAGCCCGCCGGCGGCATAGATAATCTCGTCTGACGCCGATGCGATGCTCTCGTCTGCCTTGAAAGCAACACCATATGGGGGGGGGGGGGTTAGGGTTAGGGTTTAGGTCGGGTTGAGGGTTGATTCGCCTCGGCTTCCTGCCGAGAGCGTCTGGAACAAGCAGAACCCGGCCTCCTTCCCCTAACCCAACCCCACCCCCCCCCCCCCCCCCCCCCCGCCTGTGGGACCCCCCCCAGCTGCAAACCGATGCCGTGGAGGGTCCCGCCTGTCGGTGGCTCCTACAGGGGGAGGTTCCCCACCCCCCCACCCCCCCCCCCCCACCCCCCCCCCCCTCCCCCCCCCCCCCCCCTTTGACCTCGCTGCCCTTCCTCCACTTTTTTTGCTGAAACCCTCTTTCCTCCTTTCCTGTCCTGGCCGGCCCGGCTGCCGAGGCGGCGCGCGCAAGCGTTTACAACTAGGGTCCTCAGTAAAAGGGGATCCTAGTATTTGGGGGTCGAAATTAAGGGCCCCCCCAATTTCGTGAACCCACCGGGATTCTAATTTCGTAGCCTCCATGTCGGCCATTCTCTGCACATCTGTGACCCCACCAGGGCTCTCAAGTCTCCTCAAGCCTTTCAAGGTCTGCCAAAGGCCCTCCTCAGAAACTCACAGTTGCCCCCCTCTCAGAATCCCAGGGTTTAGGGGTTTAGGGGTTTAGGGGTTTAGGGGTTTAGGGGTGTTGTAGGGGTGTAGGGGTGTAGGGGTCTAGGGGTCTAGGGGTCTAGGGGTTAGGGTTTTAGGGTTTAGGGTTTTCTTGGGGGCAACCTTTTGCTGAAGGTTCAGGGTGCAGGGTTATCAGGCGTACATGGAGGCGTTATGCTACCAATACCTTGTACCGACACACAACCGGTAATTTAACAATGGGAAATGTGGGGTTTCCGAAATTTGGGGGGGGGGGGGGTACCTTTTTGGGCTTCTAATAAAAAAGCGAACCCTGCTATTTGCGGGGGGGTGATTTTCGTCAACCCCCCATGTATCGACTGGAGGAGTGGAGGCTGGGGGGATTTGAGAGTTTGAGCCTTAAACCCTAAACCCTAAACCCTAACCCCTAAACCCTAAACCCTCTTTTCGGCTCCAGGATCTTCTGCCCCAAAGCACAGAAACTTAAGTTTGCAGGGGCCACAGGCCCGTGCTCAGGGCTAAGACCCGCAAGCCACCCTCCAGCAGCTCGAAACAACAACAACTTCAGTTCAAACCCCTAAACCCTAAACCCTAAACCCTAAACCCTAAAACCCCCCCAACTTCCCATGCGCCTCGCGCGCGGCGCGGCCGAGCTCGGAGTCCGCCTCAAAGCTCTCCTCCCCACAGCAGCTTGTCTAAGTCTGGAGCGTTCCAGGTTCTGTTTAGGGCTTAGGGCTCAGGGTTTAGGGTTTAGGGTTTAGGGTTTAGGGCTTAAGGCGGAGGGCTTAGGGTTTAGGGTTTCTGAGAATGCGTAAAGCCGTGGTAGAAGTTCCGAGGTTTCCGCTGTCAAGGAGTTTCTAGTGCTCATGCCCTATGTGTGAGGGTGGCTGGTTTCCCCGGCAGCGAGCCCGCGACCCGCAGCTGCTTCTACACTTGCTCATGCCTCAAGGAATGCAGCGGAAGTTTTGGAAACCCTAAACCCCAACATAAACCCTAAACCCTTTGGGTACTTGTCATTCTGCTTTCCCGGAAGGGATCCGTGCCGTCACAGTGTCAGCGTCTGTGTGCGCAGAAGCAGAAAGAGCAGGGGGAATGAGTGACAACAAGGTGAAGCACGACAATTTCAGGGTACATCATGCAGTTCTTGGCTGCACATAAATTGAACCAACGATATCCAACGCAACATTCATGGAACGTTGTGTGCTACGATCTCATGCAAGGCAAGGCCTCGTAGTCGTAGGTCATGGCAGTTCGCGGGCCCATGTCCATGTCAGGAGGGCCCATGATTGGGGGGCCACCCCCCATCATGGGAGGGCCGCCCATCATCGGAGGGCCGCCCATCATGGGAGGGCCGTCGGGCGGCATGATGCCAGGGCCATCCTGACGTACAAGCTCGGCACAGGTTCTCCCTGGAAAGCTTCGGTTCTGTATTTGCCGGGCACAAGCGCTGGGCCCTGTTTAACGTGTTCACCCCTGGCTAAACAGCCCAAGCCGATTTTCTTGGAGGGTCTGGAGATTCAAAACCCCTGGCAGACCCCCGAAAAAGAGAGGCCCGAACGGCATCGTGCAGCACGTGCCCCAAAATCCGGGCCACGCTCTCAGGGGCAAAAGCGTCTGCTGTCATGTGCCTAAACAGACCGTCTCTAACCGACCTCTTGCATCCTCTTGCAAAGAAAGGGCCTGCGAAAACGGACCAATCTTTCCCTCCCCAAATCCCCGCAGTCTTCTAGCAGACTAAGCTCGAGAGAGGTTCCGAAAGATTTCTAGACGCAGAATTGAAATCACACGCCTTTACCCGAAACAATGCACGAGCAAACCTGAACTATGCCACTCTTCCCTTTGGCCGGGTCACTGGCGGAGCCATCGGTTGGGGTTTCGGAGGTGAGACAGGGATCGGATCTTCATCGGAATACTCCTCCTCGAAGTCCTCACTCTCCTTCGGCACAGGGTGCGAAAGTTCAGGTGTCAGGCAGCGGCTCCGAAATTTGAGGATGTTGAGCTTCCGGCCGTGGCTTCAGGCTATACAGGCTTCAGGTTTGTGGCTTTCGGATCTTGGGGTCTCTGCAACGAGTCCAGCGCCCTAACGTCAGAGAACTCAATGCTTCGACTATCTTCGCTCACCATGACTCCGGCGACCAATGCCAGTTCGCATGTCCGCTCACATAAACCCTAAAAACCCTAACACCTCATGTAGTACTAGGGGAGTCGAGAACCCGATTGAAATTCAATTGGGGGTTATATGGAATTGAGCATTTTGTTGTTGCAGCACAATGACTCGAAAGCAGGTCCGGGGGGGCGCCACATAGCAAATGCATGCATATGAAATGCAGAGTGTCTGGAACTTGCAGCCCTTGCAAGACACCACGGGGCAAGGGTGTTCCAGTCTGGTATGCGTTCGGAATCCGTAGTTGCCACTAGCACCCCTGCGCTACACAACTTCAACCTCCACCATGCTGTACGAGGCGCATAGTGCCGCAGCGGCATACGGCCAGAGTCGTCCACCTCCGGACGTGCCTCTTCGCAGAAAAGTCAACTTGGAAAACTGGGAGCTGAACCCGTGTTCAGAATCAACAATGCTTGGGCCGAATACAAAGGGTCCACAGGCAGACCACAAGCCAGAAGAATGTGCAGGTCTTCTTTCGACGACTGGTGCTCCCTAAGTACAGAACGCCTCCGCACGTAGCAACCACGGGTACGCATAGTAAGCTGGTGCAAAACACTCTGAGAATTTACTGTATACAGTATAGGGTCCGTGTTTTGGGAGGCATGCGTTCTGGAAGTTAAACAAAGGAAACGCAGCAACCGAATGCGACCGGCATGCGGCAAAAAGGCCATGATGCCATGTGGCTGAAATCAGGACTGAGATCCTAAACCCTAAACCCTAAACCCTAAACCCTAAACCCTCCGAAAATTCCAGCCTCCGCCTGGCCTGCTGCAGCGGGGCTTGGCTGCGCGCCCGCTGCGGGTGCCGGCTTGGCAAGGAACTCTTCATAGTCCGAGTCGTACTCGTACTTGTCCTGGAACCCTAAACCCTAAACCCTAAACCCTAAACCCTAAACCCTAAACCCTAAACCCTGTCCTGGAACTGCTTAGACATGTTTAAGTTAAGGCAGAAGGACCCAAGACCAAGAAGCCAGGCTAGGAAATCAGGAACTTGAGGAGTTTCTAGACATCTCCAAAAACCTCGAGGAGGCTCAAGATGCTCTTAATGTAGGGTTTAGGGTTTAGGGTTTAGGGTTTAGGGTTTAGGGTTTAGGGTTTAGGGTTTAGGGTTTAGGGTTTAGGGTTTAGGGTTTAGGGTTTCGGGTTTCGCCACCCGCACTGCACGGGCGGATGCGGGCGCAGGGTTTAGGGTTTAGGGTTTAGGGTTTAGGGTTTAGGGTTTAGGGTTTAGGGTTTAGGGTTTAGGGTTTAGGGTTTAGGGTTTAGGGTTTTGGGTTTAGGGTTTAGGGTTTTAGGTTTAGGGGTTTAGGGTTTAGGGTTTAGGGTTTAGGGTTTAGGGTTTAGGGTTTAGGGTTTAGGGTTTAGGGTTTAGGGTTTAGGGTTTAGGGTTTAGGGGCCCCTTTTGCGTAGCTTTCCGTGAGCTCACCAGGGCACTGTTGGGTTTGTACTCACGGGGGCCTCTGCCGCAGCTTGGCTGGGCTCCGCTGCTGGAGCCGGCTTGGAGTCGCGGTACTCCTGAAAGGGTTTAGGGTTTATAGGGTTTAGGGTTTATAAGGTTTAGGGTTTAGGGTTTAGGGGTTAGGGTTTAGGGGATCGTTTTGGAACCCCATGAAGCAATATGAAGCAACGCGTTGGCTGCAAGACTGATTGAAATGAGCGCGTGATCTGTGAGTTAGCGAAGCAAGAAGATAATAATAGGGTGCAAAAAGGTCCCTTTTGTATAGACTACGTTTAGGGCCCTTTTTACACTACACGCTATTGCCATTTAGCCGTGCAGCATAAGTCTTTGCACGCGCGGGCGAAAAGAATTGCATTTCACGGGCTTGTTAAACCTTATTCTGTGTGCCTGCGAGCGAATAGAATACTACCATAAATTCTGCCCTCCACCGGCAGCTGCACAAAAAGATATTGCGCAGCCATTGCAGAAACTGGCAGAAACAGCTCCTCGACTTACGTCGTTTAAGCGGCTACTATTTGCTTACGAAGCCCCCTTAGTACCCCTAACCCTAAACCCTAAACCCTAAACCCTAAACCCTAAACCCTAAACCCTAAACCCTAAACCCTAAACCCTAAACCCTAAACCCTAAACCCTAAACCCTAACCCTAAACCCGAAAGGAAAAGAGTAGGTGGTGCCTGAGCTGATGCCGACTGCCCGGGCCCTGTCGGCGCGGCAGGCCCGGATGAATGCGTCGGCGCCGGGTTGGCGAGGGACTCTTCGAAGTCCGAGTCGTACGCATACTTCTCCTTTCGGGGTTTAGGGTTTAGGGTTTAGGGTTATAGGGTTTAGGGTTTAGGGCTTAGGGTTTAGGGTTAGGGTTTAGGATGATATGTTGACATTGGGTTCATAGAGTATGCTTGGATGTGAGCGCAAGACTGGCCCGTGACAGCGGCGCGCACCAAGAAAAACGGCGCTCGGCATCCGAAGGCACATACACACTACACCGTTGAAATCAAATACAGAAAAAAAACCCTAAACCCTAAACCCTACACCCTAAAACCCTAAAACCCTAAAACCTTTTTGCATCCGGGCCTGGGCAGTCGGCCCTAAAACCTAAAAACCCTTTTTTGAAACCGGACTTGATGACTGCCAGCAGAAAACGAGCCAGAAGCTAAAACACCGCCCTGAAGGTCTTCTAAAGGGCGTCCACAAAAACATGCACATGTTACCAAGGAGGCACGACCTCATGCATGCTTAGGCCGCACAGGCTATTAGCAGGCCGGGCCGAAGACTTGTCACCGGCTCGGTCCTGAAGTCGTTGCAGGCGCTGCTCGCGTCTCTTCTGCTTTTGCACTACACGCTCAGCTCGATGTCGATCTTTGAGCTGTTTGAAACTGTCACATGAAGGCTTGGCAGACAGGGCAGGGTCATCATTGCTAGCCACGTCCAAATCCAAGTCACTTGCAAGAGGCGTCAGGACAGCCTGCAGGCAAGAAGGGAACGAGTCATCTCGTGGATGGTCAACCGGCACTGCCATGCCTGAGCCAGTCGACTCATCTCGAGCGGATGCCACGACATGGCTTGCTGTTGTCATCCTGCTTAACTCCTCACGTAGATCCACAACCCGAAGCTGCTCATCGACCAGGCGCTGTCTCAAGTCCAGCACACACTTTTGAGACCTCTCGGCAAGCTGCGTCATAAGGGCTTCACACATAGGTCTGGTGATTACTTCAAAGTCCGTCTGAGTCGCAATGCAAGAATATTGGGTACAAGTAGCATGTTGCAGTCCCGATGTCCAGCCTCCCCCAACTCGTGTTGACGTGTCCGCCGTCAGCTGTAAAGCAGAATACAGTGAAATGGATCTCCGACCAGTCTCACCTTCATCAGCGAACTTAGTTGTCGTGGCTGATTCGTACATGTTGTCGGCGAGTTTGCCGGCCGTTTTGTTGCCACTACCACCAATGTGACACGACTGTCTGGGTGTGTAGGTCTGTGCTTCAGCAGAGGTCTGATCATCGCCCGCAGGACCAGCCACAAGGCAGAACAGCGCATGCTGGAGCATATTTGTCACGTCCTGCTGGCCTTCCCTCTTTGAGACACGGATGGCGTATCCAATGCACGCGCAGAGCTTGGACACCGACGCCATGGCAATGCGGAAATGGTAATTCGGGGCACCAAATTAATCTCGTAGCCAGGCTCAAAAAACCCTAAACCCTAAACCCTAAAACCCTAAAACCCTAAAACCCTAAAACCCTAAACCCCTAAACCCCTAAACCCCTAAACCCCTAAAACCCTAAAACCCTAAAACCCTAAAACCCTAAAACCCTAAAACCCTAAAACCCTAAAACCCTAAAACCCTAAAACCCTAAAACCTAAAACCCTAAAACCCTAAAACCCTAAACCCCGAAAACCCTAAAACCCTAAAACCCTAAAACCCTAAAACCCTAACCCTCCCCGGCCTCTTCTTTGGCTGCAGGCGGCGGGCTCGACTCTGGCGCCTGCTTTGCGGGGTCCTCTTCGAAGTCTGAGCCGTAGTCGCTCTTCTCCTGGAGGATGGCTAAGTTTGGGGGGTTAGGGTTTAGGGTTTAGGGTTTAGGGTTTAGGGTTTAGGGTTTAGGGTTTAGGGTTTAGGGTTAAGGGTTTAGGGTTTATGGACAAGGCCGTAACTAGGATTAAAAAAAAAAACACGTGGGTTACTCTTGAAGCATCTCCAAGGCCTCTACAACTCCCAGCACTCACAACCTCTGTGCCCGAAAATCCACATGACCAGAGAGTGTGTCTCCCTTACGCTTCGGAGTTGCATTGCAGAAGCACCGGATCCAGGAGACCGGGTTTGCGGTGTCAGGTCTACGGGCCTAGAGTTCGCATGGGGGCCCTTTTGGTGACCGTGCGTTTGTGTTTAGGAACTCTCAAGGGCTTTCCTTACCCAACATCCATCCCCCGCTGATCCCGGGTGAGCTATGTTTTGACCGGCTGCCAAAAACTCCATGCTCGTGCGAAATGGATGCAGCACGTGTCGCTTGTCAGGTGCTCCCGGAGCTTTACCGGGTTTGGGCATCAGATATCTACAACACCCGGAAAAATCCCAAGCGACGGAATCCCGGAATCCCCCTCAGAAGCGCGAAAGGGGTCCTGCTCTGGAGGCTGCGAGCTCATGGAGGCCTGCCATCCGTTTCTGTCTTTGCTTCTCTGCCTCCCTCTCGTTTTTTCATCCCTGTGCTGTCTTTCATTACATTCTCTGGGCTACAGGGGGGGTGGCCTACGTCCGAGTTAGGGCTGCAAGGAGCAAATCAGACTGCGGCATGGAACAGGCACAACCACTGATATGAAAAAGATGTAAGACCCATCCGCCTTGGCACAGCCCTCCCGCACGACCTCCTTCGCTACTGTATCGCAACACACAAAACTCTGAAACCCAGGCACCCCACACATACCATCTCTCTGCTTCTCCCTGTCTTTGCCCTTCGTCTGGGGATCTTTGGACGGATCCCTCGCCCTAAACCCTTTTGAGCAACGGACTTTAGAGGCTGCCGGCAAACATGCAACTTCTTAGAAGTCACATCACGCAAAATAAACCCTAAACCCTAAACCCTAAACCCTAAACCCTAAACCCTAAACCCTAAACCGGATCCCTGAACTTCGGGCCTGCATCGGCTCAGGTGCGACGGCCTGCCATGCGGTGGTTCTGAGTGCCGTCGATGCCGGCAGGGGTGCACACGGTTACTTGGGACCGATTTTTGCTTCTTTCTGCTCCCTAAACCCTAAACCCTAAACCCTAAACCCTAAACCCTAAACCCTAAACCCTAAACCCTAAACCCTAAACCCTAAACCCTAAACCCTCACGTGTAAGCACCCAGCTCTCAAAGTAGATCCTGGATGGCAAGCCCTGAACCTTATCAGATGGCATGTGGCACAAGGGTCTCCTGGGTTTGAAGCTTCAAATCACAGAGCTAACCTAGCTGCCTACAGGCAGCTAGGAAGTTTTGGGGGAAGCCCCACCCTCCAGCGGCCCTTACCTCAGACTTGCCCCTGAAAGCCTCCTGTTTGGCAGGGGCTGCCGCGGCATGGGCCGGGCCTGGGCTAGCCTCAGTGATGCTGTTGTTTGGAGGATGGGCTCAAAGCTAGGATCGCAAGGGCTTCGGCGGCTTCGGGGGAAGATTTTGGAGCGCAGAGTGGCGCTTTTGTACCACCCGCTTGGCTTGCTTTGGTGCACAGCAAGGGCTAGTCCAGGATACCGGCGGAATGTTCAAGCTGTCTGTCACCATTTTGGGCTCTCCCTGCTACATTCTCCTTGACCCCGTGACTGTTGAGAGCCCTCTAAGGCTTCGGGAGTTGTTCGTGCCCCGACTGTTGCGGGCCAAGCTTCCAAAGTGCTGAGCAAGCCCAAACTTATAAGAGCTCTACGCTGTCACGACGCATGGCAACGATGGGCAACGATCCTCACCCCAAAAGCCTCTGAACGATGAGAAAAACCCTAAACCCTAAACCCTAAACCCTAAACCCAGGCTCTTGCAGATGCCCCTTCCCTGCTCCGTACACTCAGTGCACGCCGTGCGATTTAACGCCATGCGAGAACCAGCCGCAGAACAACCTTAATCTACCCACTTTTTGTATATGGACCGGAGACTTAAGGGGCCTCAAGGACCGGATCGTAGAAGCCATATTAGAGAGGGAGCACCTTCTTCGACTTATCGGGTTCTCAAAGTGACAAAACGCTTCCGTGGTCTGCCCGCGCCTGAGGCTGCACATTCTGTGGTGGATCTGCAGCCTCCTCCTTTCAGCAGGTTTAGGGTTTAGGGTTTAGGGTTTAGGGTTTAGGGTTTAGGGTTTAGGGTTTTTTTTCACTCCTGCACAGCTGGGGCGAACCCGGTTTAGGGTTTAGGGTTTAGGGTTTAGGGATGCCGTGGGCGTTATGCTTCTTGATGCGCACATGTGGACACCCGTGGTGTTGGAGATGGCAGCTGCACTCATAAGACCGTATGCAAGTTCAAGCGCCATGCACATGCGGCCCATGCTGACACCTCATTCCCAGACTTTGCGGTCTTAGCCTTAAATCGTCCTACTAGGCATTCAGTAGCTTGGTCAATGACTTTGCCCCGACCTTCCAAACTCTGCAAGCCTTCCCGAGCGGGTAGCGCAACACCAAAAAAGCCGTGGTTACACTTTGTGCTGAAGCAACTTGACCAGGCCAACGTGCAGAAAGGCTCGGTGCCTCTTGAGGTGTGGGCCAGAAGTCGCTGAGGCCCATGATTAGGGCCCCTAAGCCTCAGATCGGGACAAGGCAACTAGTTCATGGTTGGGATAGCATTTAAACTTAAAGTTTATTCCTTATTGGGGCTAAGTACCCGTCCAAATGTAACACCCAACTATGACACAGGTAAAAAGCCTTCGAGGGAGGACTTAGTGCCCTAAGACTTAGGGCTGAAATGTCAGTCGCGCGTGCGGGATTTACAAGGGTCAATCCCCAGGTGACGTTTCGGGTTGAAGGGTTTAGGGTTTAGGGTGCCGGGCTGAAGGGTAGGCGTTGTAAGGGCTCAGGGTTTCCAGGCTTGCGCTGGCAACTGCTTCAGCGTCCAGGGTTTGGCCAGGGGTTTCCCTAAACCCTAAACCCTAAACCCCTAAACCCCTAAACCCCTAAACCCCTAAACCCCTAAACCCCTAAACCCCTAAACCCCTAAACCCCTAAACCCCTAAACCCCTAAACCCCTAACCCCCTAAACCCTAAACCCGGTCGGCAGGACTTTAAGATACCTTTACTAGTTCATGATTGGGATAGTATTGAAGATTTACATTGATATTCTTTATTGGGTTTAAGTACCCTTAAATGTAAAATGCTACCCAACTATGACAAAGTTTAAGACCAAAGCAATCAAGCTTTGCGGACAAACTGTGCCGCCCATCTTTCAGAAGTTGGCATCTATCTTGTATCAACGTGTGGGCAGGTGTGAGCGCAACGTGCTGCAGATGCATTTCGCAACACGCATCCCCGGAAGTCAATCATCCAAGTGCCTTGAACCCTGTATAACCCGCTTAATGCAACTGGACTGCAGACACAGCCCTATAACCTAACCCCTAAACCCTATAACCCTAAACAAACCCTATAACCCTATCACCCTATCACCCTAAACCCTAAACCCTAAACCCTTACAGTTTCACTTCTTCTTTCCGTCAAGTGGCTAGCCTTGGGAGCTCCTCCTCCTCGCCGCAGCACCTCATCGAAGAGCCCTGCCTGAGCAGCTTTTTCACTGGGGCCCCTCTTCACCTACCTCTTTCTCTGGGTCATACCTACTACTTTAAGGGTAACTACTACTAGGTAAATACCTACCCTTTTTTTTGGGGTCATGCCTACCAATTAAGGGTGACAACTACGAAGCTGTAGGTAAGTAGGATCCCAGGGAGACGAAATCTGCCGAAGTTGGGGCCGCCCGGTGCTCGAAAGTTCGGGCAGAGCTGGGGTTGGGATATGGCCGATATGGCCCACAAGAGTCACAAGAGTTGTTGAAGTCCACCCTCTCTCTCTCTCTCTATATGTATATGTATGTGTATATATATATATGTATGGTACCCCCCCCCCTGGAGAATCTACCTCCAAAGGGTGGGGGTTTAAGACACCTGTAGCTTTTTCGTATCGGGTTGAAGATACCTCTAACGCTTTCGTATAGATTCTTACCCTCTCATCTTCAACAAGATTCGCATTTCAATCTCTACATGATGAGAGTTTCAGATTTCCATATCCAGAGGATGAGGTATAAGAGTTTGTCTTTTGTTTTAGGTGTGTTGCTTAGAAGCAGTTGGGTTGCTTATAAGCAGTCGGGTTGCTTAGGTGTGGGGGGGGGAGGGGGGGGGGGGGGGGGGGTGGGGGGTTCTTCCAACTTGGCCTTGGGAGCTGTGGTACCCCCCCCCCCCCCCCCCCCCCCAGCTCCAGGGTTTTTTTCTTAAGGTTAAGGGTTGTTTGGGCTGGGCTTGTCTCTAAAACCCTATCGGGGTTAAGGCTTTAAGGCTTTAAGGATTTAAGAGAAGCCCCGACACCCTACAGGTTTAGGGTTTTAATCGCTATGCCTTAAACCTATAGGATCTAGGGCTACACCTTAAACCCTACACCTTTAAACCCTATGGGGTTTCAAGGTTAAGCAACTAAACTTAACCCTTAACCTTTAAGCCCTATAGGGTTAAGGTTTAAAGGTTTAGGGTGTAAGATTTAAGGGTTTCAAATCTAAGCCGGAAATTAAACCAAAACCCTTAACTTTTAAACCCTACAGGTTTAAGATTCAGGCATTTAACCGGCAATTGAACCTAAGCCCTTAACCTTTAAACCCTATAGGTTTAAGGTGTAAAGGTTCAGGGTTTAATTAAGACTCATGCATTCAAACCTAAGCCCATAGAGTTTAAACCTTAAGTGTTTAAGGTTTAGACATTTCAACCTCACCCTAAACCCTTTAGGGTCAGAACCCTAAAACCCTATGAAGGTTCCAAGGTCTTAACCCTAAAGGCGCTAAAAGTATAAATGCCCAGACCTTAGGTTTTGAAGGCGAATGAAGTTTAGGAATTTAGCCTTGAGGTTTAGGCATTACAATCTGCAAGCCCCATAGGATTTTACAGGTGCAAGATCTAGTGATTAAAACCTAAGGCTTGGGCATTCAATCTGTAACCCTAAAGGCTTGAACCTTAAACCCTATAGAGTCCCTATAGGGTTAGGTATTTAAACCGAATAGGTGGCCTTTAAACTCTATAGGTTTAAAGGTTTAAAGGTTTAGGTTGAAATATTTAAACCCTATAGGATGTAAAGCTTTAGGGTTATTCAGGGTGTATCTCTAGAACCCTATCGGGGCTAGCCCTTATAGGGTTTAAACCCTACATGGTTTACCCTTTTGTGGTTTAAGACTTAGGAATTTAAAAATCGTAACCCGAAACCTTGTAGGGTTTTAACCCCTTTACTGTTTCAACGACAAACCCTGAAGCCTTACAGGGCTCACGTTTAGAATCCTTAAACCCTAAACCCGCTAAACCCTACAGTAACAGAACCTTGTAACCCTATAGGGTTTGAGGCTTAAACTCTTGAACTTTAAATCCCATAGGGCTAGGAAAAGCAAAGACAAAGTAGGATAAGTGCCCACATCATGTATGTATATAGGGTATATGTACTGTATATCAATTGCAGATAATGGAGAAGGAAGGACGGTACGCCTCGAACCATAAGATTGGGGGGGGGGTACCATCACTCAACCCTAAACCCTAAACCTTAAACCCTAAACCCATCCAAGATCCAAGATTACCTGAAAAGGTAGATTCTCCTGGGGGGGGGTAGCATATGTATATATATATATATACACATATGTAAATATACATAGATATGTATATATACATATGCAAATATACATATGTGTATATGCATATGTGTATACGCGTAGGTGTATATGCATAGATTTTTGGATAGGAATTTCCTAACAGGTTCTTAGGACTATGTCGTAGCACTATTGGCCAGGAGAAACAGGAAAAAACATTCACGCAAACACGGGGAAGTCCTCATGTCTTACGCTTCTTGGGCCTGGGTCTTGTGCCTCGACAATAAGATTAAGATTCAAACAACAGCGAGTAACCCCTAGAACGGTCAGAGCAGCAACAACATCAACAGCAACATGGAGACTGCGACAACGTCAAATCTTTCAATGTGAAAGTGGCGAAGTCGAACGGTGTGACGGAGAACACACCGAGATGGTACAGCTTCGTTTTGAAGCTCTCCTTAGCTTTGCTCTGTGAAGTGACACTGCTGAGTAAGAACTGCGCTCATCCGTTCTGCCTAGTTCCGCGTAGGGATTCGGAAATTGGAGGGCTTTCAGGACTCGGGGTGCCGCATTTCGACCTCATCGCCTTTGAGGGCGCCCGCGTGCATCATCCCAAGAGCACCCAACCCTGAACTGCAGCCATTGAACCTGGGAACACATCACCCTACAACCTCACAGCTTCATCCCCTGGACTTCCCCACGGCAGAGTCCTCCGCGTGTGTGTGAGGGCAGGGACGTCGTCGTCGCAGAATCGGGTGGCACGGGTGCCAAGCGCTTCTATTCTTTTGCGCTCGGGCGTCGCAGTTCCCTGACGTTGACCAGATTCGTGTGATATCGCTTTTGCTCCAAGACGGCCCATTTTCCCCGGGCCGAGACCAACTTCACACCACCATACCCGCATGCGGATGATGCGTGTCACCTTTGTGTGCGGCGCTGGACCGTGTGGTTTTATCCTGGCTTGGGCCTTTTGGTTTGTGGTTAGTTCACTCAGTCGCTCATTCGCAGACCCTGGTGCCTTTGATCCTGTGAGCGACTGGCCTGGAACCGCTCCAGGGCCCTTCTGTTGCAGCTGCGTCATGGGCATGGGCGGGTTAAAATCGTCGTTCTGGCCAGAGTCATGAGCGCGGTGCATCCGGCCACGAATGATTTGTTGCTTGAGTGAGGAGTACGGGCCGGTCCCTGTGAAAAGCTTCTCTCTTGCCGCACCTGTGTTTTTAGAGGTCTTTTGCATTTTCATATGATGAGCGAGAGGGTGGGCGACTTGGCTACATCTGGCGGACAAAACCGAGCTTGAAGGTGAACCAAACAAAACCCACTCCAACGTAGATTGCTTGGATGAGCTCGCTTAATACCCTAAACCCTAAACCCTAAACCCTAAACCCTAAGCCCTAAGCCCTAAACCCTAAGCAAGTCATAGCCCGTGGCTCCAAATCGAGGCCCTCCGACTCGTCTAAGGCTTGGCCGGGACGGCGCAGCAGGGCACGGAGGTTGGCGGAAGGGCCATGCTTTTCAAGCAGCCTCCCAGGGCTTAGGGGGGTTTAGGGTTTAGGGTTTAGGGTTTAGGGTTTATGTTGAGGGCACCCCACAAACTCCAGGTTGGGTTGTTGGGATCTTAGACTCAGGCGGTGGGAGGGAGGGGATTCTGTGAATGAATCAGACAACTTCAGAAGCTGAAACCATGCATGACCGCCCCGGGGCCTCCTACAAACATGTTGAATTGCTACTTTTCATGGAGCGCACAAGCTCAAAAGTCAGGACTTTCTGCTTACTCGCCCACGTGCTCCCGAAGTCATGACGAAAGCCCTGCAACAAGCTGGCAAGCCTCGGACCCAGACCGGCACCCCGACAAAGCCTGAACCGTGTTGCAAGTTGCAAGAAACCCTCAAAATCCCGGAAGCCCCTGTTAGGGTTGAGGGTTTGAAGGTTTAGGGTTTAGGGTTTAGGGTTTAGGGTTTAGGGTTTAGGCTTCCTTCTTCCTCTCCTCATGGCTGGCCTTCTGGCCAGGTCCTCCGTGTTCTTCTGCGACGGCGGCTCTGCAGGAACTGCAGGCTCGGGCTCCTCCGGGTTTAGGGTTTAGGGTTTAGGGTTTAGGGAAGCCGCGTCTCTGCGACAAGAGAGTCATCTTCTTGCATGGTCATGGATCAGTACTTCGAAAGCCTACAATGGCGCTGCATGACGAAAGGCTTCTATTCCATAGGCTCCATGGACTACGAAAAAGACGCAGACCCCAAACGGACATAGCAAAAAGTGTGGCTAAATGGAACTTGAAGAACTTAGTAGCCCAGGAACCTTTATCATGATGAGGGCACCCTTTTTTGGGGCTGGCTACCTTATCAGGGAACCTTGAACCCAAAAAAAGGGTAAAGGGTACCACTGGGCTACCAAGAGAAGTTGCCGAAGCCCCTAAACCCTAAACCCTAAACCCTAAAGCCTCGGGAGCCCAGGGCGACGCCGGAGCAGGTTCCGCAAGCCATGGCGTGGCTGGGGCTGCTTCGGCATGCGCAGGCTCCTCCTGGTACAGAAGGAAGTAGGGTTTAGGTTTAGGGTTTAGGGTTTAGGGTTTAGGGTTTAGGGATTAGGGTTTAGGGTTTAGGGTTTGCTGTGATAGGGCGTAGACGCTGTGAAGAAAAGGTTTCGGAACAAGCTCGAAAGCTTCGTGAGGTGCGAAAAGCAGCATTGGCCCGATTGTGGAGGGCCATCTAACACTTTTCTCCCACCCTGCCTGGGTCGCCCTGACTGAGCACGCTGCGGCGAGGGGTCCGGGTCCTCCTGGCCTAGGGCGGAGAACGTGTTCCGGTACCGGGCCCATCGTGGGCGCTTTCTGCTGGCCCAGGGCGGAGAACGTGTTCCGGTACCGGGCCCATCGTGGGCGCCACCAACCCCCACGCTGTGGGAGGCGGGCGAGCGACCTGGGTCGGCTTGTGCCATCGAGGTCAAAGGGCTTAAGCGCCGCCCCCCAACGACGTAGGGGGGCGGCCTAGGCCCTGAACTTAGGGTTTAGGGTTTAGGGTTTAGGGTTTAGGGTTTAGGGTTTAGGGTTTAGGGTTTAGGGTTTAGGGTTTAGGGTAGACTAAGTAGACTGTGGGGGGTTATCAAAGCGGGCCAGAGATAGTTGAATGTAACAGCTTGGGTAACTTGGGGCATTCGGCGACGTTGTCGGACGTCTGATGTTTTGGGGACTGAGACATGCTGTAGGCCCTCCCCCAACACGGCCGACAGGTTTCTATAGAAAGTGGGTTTAGGACAAGCTGTGTTGAAGTGTTGTCTCTGCTCTACAGCCAAGAGGCAAAGTCATCCTCGTAACCGCCTGGTGGTGATGCGGAACCTGGCTTCACAGTTTCGGCCGTCTTCAGCTGTTGGATCACCAGTGGCTGGTTGACCCATAGTCGCACTGTAAGGTGGTTCGGGTGCCCTTCAGTGGGGAGCGGGGAGAAGGGCAGGACGCGTTGACTGCAAACAACGACGGTACCTGATGGCCTTTACAAAGCCTTTGCCCTACCGAGTTGCGCGTCTCTTTGTCCATGGGCCCCGCTGGAGTCTCAGGCCGGAAAGATGGCGGCTCCTTGGATGTGCTGTCGCTGGCTGTTTAGGGTTTATAGGGTTTATAGTGTTTATAGGGTTTATAGGGTTTGTAGGGTTTGTAGGGTTTATCGGGTTTATAGGGTTATAGGGTTTAGGGATTCTCGCCTCCCGCCCTGGACTGCACCCGGTGCATACTGTTGGTGGACTAGGGCAGTAAGGTTCTTGAGCCTGGTTGTAAAGTCTTCCTCTGAGGTCTGGGAATGGGAGACTCGGGAGCTGCGACCAAGTGAACCTGGAGGCAAAATGAACGGCAAGGAAATGCAAGGGTTTTAGGCTTCGGGTTTCCTAGGGTTTAGGGTTTAGGGTTTAGGAAAACTAGTGGCCTGGAAATGTACCAGATGCAAGCCCCTTCTATCAGCTGCCCTCACACCTCACACAGGACCCTTTGCTTCCACTCTCGCGTGTGTCGCCAGGACCCTCAACAGTGAATCTTCACTCCGGAAGCACTCAACAGCCGAAGTGTGGACAAATGGGAGTTGACCCTATAACAATACCCTTTTCGGAGTCCTGATTTATGAGGGGATCCCGACTATTTGGGGGGTCTATAGTGGGGGCCCAACCCTAAACCCTAAATTTAAACCGTAAACCCTAAACCCGGGGGTCCCCTTATATTCGCAAACTCCCCCCCCGAAATGCCAAGCCAGCGGTCCATGTCCTGGTCGCTGTCATTGCCCATCGCCACGGGGAGATCTAAGGCGGTCATGCTCGAGTCCTCACCACAAGCACTTAGTCCCCTCCCCCCAATATCAACCCCACCACCCCCCCCCCCCCAAAGTTTATAGTGCTCCCAATGTATATGGGGGTATTTCAGTGCGGGTTTGATTTGGTCATCTGCCAACAAGCCCCAAGTTCCTAGAGGCTCAGAGAACGTTCGGGGTCCGGAGCGCGGAGGCTTTGGCTCGTGGCGATGAGGGGCTCTCTTCTTCACTAGGGACATTTCCTTAGCCCCCAAACTGCGCACTCAGCAACTCCAGGATAGTTGCAGTGTCCCTGAAAATGGGGCCCCTTCTATACCCTATAAAACCCAAGGGCCCATACTTCAGAACCCTTTAAAGAAGGTAATTGGTGAAGGGACCAGGAGACTACCCTTAGAGAAGTGAGATGATGAGCCTGTGTCGCCCCAGCTGGCCCCGAGGAGGGCGAGCGCAGCTGTTGCGCCGAAGACGGACGCGTAGGGGAGGCTGTTTGGGCCTTGCAAAACTGGGGTTTAGGGCTTAGGGTGTTTTAGGGTTTAGGGTTTAGGGAGGCTTCTTGTAGGACAGAGATGCGGTATGGCAGCTTGGGTGGGGTCTTTCGATGTCAATTGCCTTGAGTTTCTTGTTCGCTCTTGGACGGGAAGGTCTAGGTTGAAACGGGTTGAGCGTTGGCCACTGAGGGGTTCCGCCCTGTGTTCCTCTGAGATATCGTAGCCCTTTGCAGACCACAGCCACTTGTGGTTCCAGGGGGCCTGCAGTGGCAACCTGTCATTATCAAGAACTATAACCTCCCAAGCGTGTTTGCGTCCCAACGCTGCCGGCACCAAACTTGCAGCCAGCCGCGCACATGTTACATCCCGACTCCAGACGGCAAGGATCTGCTAAGAGGTGTTCGCATCCAACCCTAAACCCTAAACCCTAAACCCTAAGCTCTAAACCCTAAACCCTAAACCCTAAACCCTAAACCCTAAACCCTAAACCCTAAACCCTAAACTAAACCCATAAGTCCATCCGAAGAGCTGTGGTGGTGCTGCCGTAGGTGGAGAACGCCGAAATGGGTCGCGGTGGGGGCGAGCAACTTCGGCCTTCCGTGGGTCGGCGTGTCTTTCCGAAAATTGGGTTAGAGGTGTAGGGTTTAGGGCGTTTAGGGTTTAGGGCTTAGGGCTTAGGGCCAGGGTTTAGGGTGTTGCATGAGTTGAATATGGTTGAACCCTTAAGCTTTTTGAATCTGGGCGCTCATCAAGGGTTTTAGATCTGCAACATCCCGACTAACTTATGAATACCCTTCAGAATGCACAAGCCTGATAGTTAAGCCTGAGAGTCTCAACATGTATCCATCCTGCAATCAATGCTAGGAGCCCTACCCGTTCCTGCAACCTAAATGAGCTCTACGACTCTACGACTCGTCGCAGCACAGGGAAGCATCGGATATTTAGTTTGATGTTCGAAAGCAACCTCACATTCGGGGACCCCTTCCGCTCGATTCAACCCTCTCAGCTCTCAACCCCTTTCACCCCAAGCCCTGAGTTGAACCCACATTGCCGGCTTGGCTCTTCAGACCTGCGCCAACCTACATCCGGAAACCTCTTTCGAAAGCTAGCGCGCCACACACGTGCCCTACGCAGTGTAGACCCTTGAGGACCCAGCGCTGGACTGCTAAGCACTCATGCTTGTTGAACACTGTTGGGCAGGCCGCAAAACCCTACAAAGCCAATGTAAAGACCAAGATGCTCCCACCATCCTGATCTGCACCAGGCGTTCGCCGCTCTACGGGGCTTGGCGTGCCGCCTCCTGGGATGTGTTCTGTGAATGTTCGAAAACCTGACGTGTGGTTCCTTAGCCATGGGCAGGTTGTATCCCTGATGTTGGTGGCTCGGTGTCCGTATGTGGCACTGTGCTTCTGCACTGTAATAGTCGTGGGATGCCACAACAGCAATTTGGAAACTCGTGGCGCGTTCCACCCTGATATCGAGGGCGTAGCTTGCGGACCCTTGAATCGTTCACATCCTCTGAACCTCTGTTGCAGCATAATCATCAGGACCTATCGAACCAAAGATCCGACTCAGGCTTGGCGCTGCTAACTTCCGAGAGCAATTCCCAAATGAGCACGGAAGTCTGGAAGAAAGGGTTACCGCGCCGAGCCACGAGGGGTGAGCCCGAAAAACCTGGGTAGTTGCTGAGGCCAGAATGCAGCAGTTAGGCTCATGAACATACATCTTCGGAGCTTAAGTGTAGTCGGTGTAAAGTAGCTCCCAGCAACCGACGGGTTCTTTAAGAGGAACCAAGTTTACAAACATTCATGTAAAAGCTGTGCCCAACGATGATGGCTGCCGAAGCTTGCAAGATCCACGCGGTAAAGGCTCCCAAACCGAGAACACGAAACATCTCGAAATCGGAACGGGTGGGCGCAGCCCACATTGCCAACACGCACCAATCAAAAAAAAAACGTTCGTGTCGTGATCACAGAGGACCAGCTGTCATCATCTGCATATATGGCTCAGCCCTAGTGACTCTAACAAGTGAAGCCTGCCTACGCAGTCTAGCACGGAATGTTTTAACCATTGCGCAGCTAACCAATCAACTGCCGAGGTGGACCCAAGTAACATGGGTGGATGTGGAATCGGCTTTGGCTTCTCTGCGCGAGGTGTCGATGTCCACCGCCGATGCATCTGCTGTACCTCGCTCGACCTTAGAAAGATTGGGCACATCTACTAATCTACGATGAACAAATGTGGGTTTCCGAAAACAGGGGTTCTGTGTCTCTCTGTGCGTTTAATTGTGTGCGTCTCTCTCGCTCTCTCTATCTCTCTGTCTGCGTGTAGGGACTGTGGAGGCGTGGGGCTGCGGGGGCGTGGGGTTGTGGGTGCGTGGCGGCGTGGGTGTGGGTGTGTGGGTGTGCGGGTGTACGGGTGTGCGGGTGCGTGTGCGGGTGTGCGGGTGCGTGTGCGGGTGTGCGGGTGTGCGGGTGTGCGGGTGCGCGGGGGTGTGGGTGTGTCTCTGTGTGGGTGTGTGGGTGAGTGTCTGTCTGCATGTGTGCGCTTGCGCACGCATGCGTGCATGTCTGCTCAGCCTTGCCAAAGCCAAGTGGCACGTCATCCGAGTCCCTGCCAGCAGCGAGAATCCGGGCGACCTCCCATCCAGAACTAGAGGTTTTTTTCTGTCAGGACCGTCATGTTCCTTGACAAGAGAACACTTGTCCTACTTGTCACAAGGCCCCGACATACATCAACATATAGAGCTGCTAACAAGGCACATGTCATCTCCACAAGGTTTTACTGGGACTGAGAGTTGAGGGCTGTAGTTGATTCAGATTTCTGTTCGCAGAAGTTGGCGTTTCCAACGTCGGCGATGTCAGAAAATTCATCATTCTCCTTCTCCACATCGGCACGTCATTTCCAATCAGCCTGTCCTAGCCTGTCGCAAGCACGTCAGGTTATGTGCGATGCGACCTGTGGTCATATAAAGGGTCATTTTTGCGAAGAGAATTTTCGATACATCTACCAGGACCATGACTTTTGCTTCCTTGCAGTCCGTTCACATACGTCCTTCTCTCGGACGTTTCTCCCCTCTTTCTCGCTCTCTCTGACTCGCGGCTTCAGAAAAGAAACCATCAACTTTGCAGCAGTCCCCTAATGCGAAGTTCGGAAAGACTCTCGCGGAACATGCACTGAAAGAATGGTAGAATCTGTACTCCCCTTAGAACCTTAATTAACAAGTACTTTTTGAAATCCTCCTGGGTTTTATATGAACAAAAATAAAAAAATGATTCCCAAGGGGGATATAGGAATACATCGACTACGAGCTGACACTCTCAAAACCCACGCGGACGAGCTCTGAAAGGAAGAACTTCATCCATGCATCGCTTGAGAAAGCGTTGGATACGTCCGAAAACAAGCTCTCCCTTTTTTAAGCACGGACTCCTAACCCCAAACCCCAAACCATAAACCCTAAACCCTGAACCTTGGGCCCACCCTCACAAGAACCCTCACCCGCGACACGTTACGAGTGAATTGCTTTGATGGATCTACGCGTCAACCAAGCAAGGTCATGGGACGAGCCCCCCCGGACCCCTAGGAGGTTCAGGCCATGACTTGCCAAACCGCAACCCCACACCCTCAATCCGCACGGCCTTTTGTGCAAGGGTGTCGGGGTCCGGCCAGCGATGTGAGCCTTGGTGGACTAGCTGTTTTGCTGTGTGTCATCGGCGACAGTTCTCACATGACAGGATTCTGGGTTTAGGATGCAAAGCCCGGCTGCAGTATTGGTGGCATTGCTTGATGCTACAAGGGCATTGAAGAGTGATGGTGACGAGGATCGCAGGCCCTATCTTGCACCACTGTTTCGTGTTGGGCTGAAGGGCTTGCAGGAGCAGAGAAACACCACAAGCACATACAGGACCTTCTCCCAGCCATACCCGTTGCATAAGGGACGTTGCGAAGTACACCTCCCACGAACCCAAGAAAGCAGGGTTCGGTTCTCCAACTCTCGAGGCGGGTAAAGACAGCCGCCACTGTCTTTACTGCTGTTTTGATTTGGAGACCGCAACCCCGACCATAAACCAGGTGCTTCTCGGGTTCATGCTCTCAAAACGCCTCTTGCCGGTGTCATTTCTGGCAAATGGGAGCCTCGTAAATGGGCAGCGCAAATTGGCGCTTCGGCAAAACGGACTGGGACCTCCGTAGCACTGGCCCAAGCGTAGGCGGCCACTGGGACGGCGTCAAAACTCTGAAGCACACACCCCTTCAAATTAAGCATGTCCTGCTTTCCGAGGATGTTTTCTTTTACAGCACTCAATTGAGAACGATAAATGCCCTACAACGTGAGATGTTGACCTGGAGCTGCGGGCGGGGGTGTAGATTTGATGGTCGCACACTTGAGCTACAGCTTTGCAGGCCAAGGGAGGTTGGGGATGTCTGAGTAGTTGAAGTGATGCTTCGGCTGTCTTCGGTTGTACACAGCTGAGGGTCTACGGCCGAGTCTTTATACTGAACATGGAACCCTGGTAAATACATACTGTTCTGCTTTCTTTTAAAGGATACTTGATGCTATCAAAACTATTGCAAGACCACCTGTTGGAACTTGGCTGGGGGGCAAAACGAACAGGAACTCCTTCCTCATTCCCCTTATACCGGCAACTTCCACCCGGTTTAGGGTTTAGGGTTTAGGGCAAAGTTTAGGGTTTAGGGTTTAGGGGTCTACATCTCAATCTCTGCCCTTGGCCAGGGGAAGTGGGCAAAACCTGGTTTCCGGCCAAATCGCTGAGCTTGGACCACACCTGGAGCCGTGGTGGCAGCCTTCAGCGACTGCGACGTCTATAAACCCTAAACCCTAAACCCTAAACCCTAAACCCTAAACCCTAAACCCTAAACCCCAACCCTCGGGCTTCAGGGACTTCAGGGTTCCAATGAGAGCTCGTTGAGACTTTCTTAATTCCGACACTTTAGAAGATTGAGGTTCCTAAAACTGCCAAAGAAGTCCCCGAGAGCCCAAGACCCCAACAGAAAGCCCAGGAATCTCAACCCTGAACCCTACACCCTAAACCCTAAACCCTAACCGTAAACCCTCACAGCTGTTCCTAAAGTTTACTCCGCCCATCGGCCCAGAACTCGGCGGCGCAAAGTCCGAGGAGGTGAGGACGGTCACCTGGAGGGGCTTCGGCTGTTTCGGCTGCTCCTGTTGAGGCTCAAAGCTCTCGCAAGGCTCTGAAACCCAACATGGGCACGCCTGAGACCTCACTGTTCTCGGACAGGTAGTCCAAGTCACTGGTGATGTTTGGCTTTCGGGTCTGGATTGCCGACTTTGACTGAGAATTCGTGACAAGAGCACCCGAGACCCCGAAAAGCAACCCGGAACCCGCGCAATGAAGGCCACGCGTATAATCTTCGATGCGCTAACGCCGACCCTAGAGAGCCTTGGGGGTCAAACTGATAACAGCGACTTCGATGCATGTAAAGACTGCACCTTGAAACCCTGAAGCCCTAGAGACCATTACACCAAAGAGTCCTACAGCTGCCATAGAAAACAAGCCCTCTACGATCGCTGTGAGCCACGCGCTTCTTTTCAACCACGGCGCTTCAAAAGAGCCCAGGCGTGGATAGCGCACCTTCGGCGGCATGCAGGGAGGGTGCACATGATGTGTCTTTGTCACTTGCAGCCTCGGAAGAGATTTGTTGTCCGATTTGGGACTTGGGCTTCGGACTAAGGGAGATTTACCAGTGTTTGGGAGCAGGGTTCAGAGACCCTAAATCCTTGCGAGACAAAGCCGTGAAAACCGCGGGGGCCTTCTCACCTTTGGTGCTTGTGAACCAGCCGCGGCAGTTCCAGAAGGGCGCAAATCCTTTCGGAGGGCCAGGGTTCCTCAGGCAGCGCGGGAGATGAGGACCGGCAGTCATGCGTCGTCATCATTTCAGAAGCGCCTGATAATCAGAAGCTTTGGAGAATCTACCACAGTTCCGCACAAGGCCCCGGGCGCGTTTTGCGGATGCTCATACCAAACACCAGCTCCAAAAAAAGAGAACTCATCTGCTCCGGCCACCGGCTCTCTACTTGCTGGGGCGATTTCGGGCGCATACAGGGTTTAGGGGTTATAGGGTTTATAGGGGTTACAGGGTTTATAGGGTTTAAAGGGTTTATGGGGTTTATGGGGTTTATAGGGTTTATAGGGTTAGGCTTCAGGACACGCGGCGTGACGACCCGGTGGGAGATATTTTCGTTGTTGAGGTGGACATTCATCATCTTCTCGACCTGGCGACTCTGAGATTTTGGCTCGGCTTTAGGGGGCGGATTTCTCAGACTAACCCGCTTGAGGGAGAGTCTCCATAGCACTGCCTTTCAGGTACCAGGTATGGGGTTGAGCCGGGGTCATTTTGATGCGTGAGATGTATTGCAGTCTTGATCTCGTCAGCAAGTTCCAGCCCCTGTAGAACACAGGCGCTACTTGCTATGCAGCTGTGCAGTGTTCTGATGGAAATTTGCCTTTGGGCTGCGTTTGGAGGTTCGGGATTTCTGCCTTATCCAAGCACAAACCAACGGGCTTAAACGGCTGAACTGCTTCGGTGAACTGCAGCTGAGTAACATCCTTGGCATATTCGGTGTATCTTTCCACCTTGTAAGTCGTGTGGAACGAGTTTTCGTCATGGTGCTCAATCTCTATCCTGACGCAGCTCAGAAACAACACTCCGCACTTTGCAACTTCAAGACCCGACTAGTTCCCGGCACTCAGGCATACAGCTTCAAAAGGGGAAGCAGCACTGCTGTGAGGATTCGGGTATTTTTGCACAGGCATATAGGACTTGGTCTTCACTGGCAAATCTCTTCTGCCGTTGCATGCTGCTCCTTTCGTGGCACCCCCTAAGCCCTAAACCCTAAACCCTCAACCCTAAATCTAAACCCTAAACCCCAAACCCTAAACCCCTGTCATGTGTTGAACGCGCTGTGCCCCGACATGACTTGTGCATCTTCTGGCCACTGCTTAGGATATCCACCGCCTGTCCTGATCTCAGCAGGCTACAGGACCTAAACTACCACTTGATTAAGAACTCAAAAAAAAACACAAAAACATAATCCCTATATTGCCCATCTAATAAGGAAGAATGTTTTCTAACAATTTGGGGTTCTCAATCGCAAATAGTAGTAGGTTATGCTGCAAGCTGAAACCCCGGTCCTCACAACGTCCTCTCTCTTCATCGACCTCCAGGCGGGATGACGCCCACGGCCATACTACTTCTCAAGTTGTCATCCTTTGAGCCAGTGCGGCAGAGACGCGGCAGCTGCTGCCATTTCCTATTCAAACCCGAAGTCCTGAAACCCTCAAATCTCCACACCATGCAGCAAGACTGACAGGTACATCATGCCGATAGCTTTTCAATGAAGCCCTGAGAATCCCGAATCCCTCAAGGCCTCAAAGACATGAGCGATGTGAAAGCTCCTAGTTAGGTTCTGCTTGCAAGTTGAGGATGGGGCGACGGAGCTGTAGGGGACTTGAATCCATGCCGAACAGTGCGGAGCGCTGAACAATCAGAAAACAAGCAGTTCGGCGCAAGTTTCGCGATTCGGCCCCCCACTTCAGGAAACCCTGACACCCTCAATGGTACCTTTCCACAAAGCCACAATTGGTGCAAGCGACAGGGATACAACCCCGAAAAGCCCCGCTGATGCAGTTTGAGGGATTCACTATGGCGTTGTGGGGTTTCGGGGTGACTGACATCCTCTGGAACGTCTCGCGCGACTGGTATCTCAGAGTGCGCCTGCACGGTTTAGCGTTCAAGGGCGCAAGGTTGCTTTGACTCAGCTAGTGAGCAGCTAGTGAGCTGGCGGTACAGTACGAGGACTCCTCCACTGGAAACAATAACAAGGCACCCGCAGCGTGAAACGTAATTCCATGGCCACTGTCGCATAATTGGAACTGCCTGAAGCACCAACCACATGGATGCTCACAACCCGTCAAGGTGTAGGGCTGCTCATGGCTTCTACCCCACGCCATGAACCCTTTGCCATAGTCCCTAGTTGACCCTTGGCTTGCTCAGATGCGCTAATTGCAGGACAGCATATGAGCGGAAGGAACCTCGCCCATGCCCTAAGAGGACACTGTATGGGCCAACTGGAACCCAGGCGAACGCACACGCAAGCCCTCGACACCTTCAGCGCATAGTGCGCGTTCGTCCTTGAGAGGGGCTTTTGGGCAGCTTTGGGCTGTCAGGGGGCTCTTGAAACTTTGGGTCCTCTTGCATCCGTCGCTCGGAAGACAATGAGAAAAACTAAACTGCTGGAGCAACGTCGTGTCCTTAACCCGCTGATGCTAGGGAGAGCTCAAAGGAGCTAACCCTAAACCCTACACCCGAAGAACATCCCGTTGCCCTAAGCCCTAAGCTATGGACTCCCGCGGCTGGAGAATCAGCTACCGAGATGTAATGAGGTGTACTGCGCAAGAGGACGGCCATTGTGCAGCAATCATGCCCAACAGACATCAGCGGACCCCAGTCTAGAAATCCACTTCGTTTTGACATCACTCAACCCCACCCCAAACACGGCATCAGCTGGCCCTGTGCGACTGACCTAAGCACCCCAAATGCTTCACTACTGACCGAAGTAACCCAAATACTTCAGGCCTCCGTTGAACAGAGACGAAGCAACCTCCCCTTTCCCAGGCGTGAAAAGCTTGAATCCTGCCTCAAATACTCCTGGGACTGCTGTGGCCTGGGAGATGGTCTCAACAAGTTGTTTCAGATAAGTGTTATTAGAGGCCTCCCGAGTGTTTCTGTTGAGGTTTCCACACACATCATGGCCTTAGAAGGGAAGACTTTTCGCCTTGACAAGAAGGCAAAGTTACGGGGTCTGAATCCCAAACCCGTTTTTTTATCTAACTTTCAGCATGAACTGTTGATCTAACGCGCACATCCAGCATCCTGTTGCTGGGTTAACTGCTCAAGCTTTGGGATGTTGTCCCGGGCGGGGTCTGTCAAGGTTTGGACTGCGCGAGGTGTTCAGCACTGGAGAGCTTTCAACTCTTGGAAGGTGCACGGTGGATGACAGGGCAAGACAAATAACAAGCTCATGCCAGAACACGCGAGAATTGACCGATCTTCGTCGGGATTCTTGATTCCCTAAACCCTAAACCCTAAACCCGGAACCTCGATTGCGGCACTCTGCTGCAAGGCTTCGAAGATTCCATGTTGCAGCCCTAGTTCATATGGAGGACTTGGACAGGCCATGCCGCTGGCCGTTCCTCTAGCCACCTGGTTGAAGGCACCCTAAACCCTAAACCCTAAACCCTAAACCCCAAACCCTAAACCCTAAACCCTAAACCCGCAAAGAAGAATCCGAGGACATGGCTGCCGTGGATCCGCATTCTCCATCAGCCAGTTCATAGCAGAGTCCACGGACATCAGTGCCTCAGAGTTGCAGTTCCCTAAACCCTAAACCCTAAACCCTAAACCCTAAACCCTAAACCCTAAACCCTAAACTGCGACCGAGATGTTGAGCCACACACGCACACACAAGGTCGAGCTCCCCCTCCCTAACACGCAAAACACACAAACGAAACGACCCTTGCAAAAACCGATCTCAACATGTAAGCCAGGTGCAAGCAACAAGACTCCACACGACACCCTGCCCAAGGTTCTTTGGGACGGTGAAAGATGCCTGTGACAGTGTAAGGCCGGCGCTGAGGTGCCGCCTCAATGGGAGGCTTCACAAATGCTGTGTACGAGGCTCAGGAGGTTTTCTTTTTGCCCTTGGGGCAGAGATTGGGACATTTACCTTCAGTGACTCAAAAGACTCTCTGGGACGTGACATGGGCCCTATGGGAACTTTAAGGTTCAGGATGCAAGAGGTGTATTTAAAATGATGTTGAAGCTGAAGGTCCCTCTTCGATTTGCGGGCTGCCGAAGAGAAGGGACCCCCCCCCCCTTAGATAAGACCCCCAAATAGTAGGATTCCCTCCACATCAGGACCCCCAAGAAGGGGAAACACCAATTTGGGAGTTGAGGACTCTTCTTCAAAGCTGGGGACGTGTTGACGGCTTCTCCTAGGGGTGTCGGCGTCTCATCCTGGCCAGCCAAGCTTTCCAGGGCATGCTTTTGAACTACACTTACTATAGGATGGCCCTTCAAACCCTCTAAACAATATTCTATGTATGATCCTCTTAAACCCAATAAGAGAAAATATAAAATGTCCCAAAGGCCTACCGAGTATAGCTACACTCCTGCACCATGGCGTGGGTTGGTACTGTCTGGCGATTCCTGCCCGGTGTGTCATACGAGGTTGGCCTTTGAAGTCTGCAGATTTCCACAAGTCCAAGGTCAGGTCGTCTCCCCTGTTTTTCGGGGTCTAGTTCGTGCTTCTTTTCCTGTGGAAACCAAATAATTATGAGAGTGGCTTCCTCTTGTTTATAGGGTTTAGGGTTGAGGGTTTAGGGTTCAGATGTGGCCAAGGCTTGTGTCTGCAATTGCATCAAAGATTCCCGGTTAAGGCCCCTGGTCTCGGTAGCAAGTTTCTTTCACTGGCTTTGCAAGTTTCTGTCCCCACTGCAGTTGCAAAGCGCGAGTCCAACCTCCGAATTGTCACGCCACTTTTGCTGTTGAAAGTCATAGCCTTTCATTTGCACGAAGAACTTGCAGATACTGCCGGCTTTGTTGTTGTGCGTTGTCTGTTCCGGCACGCAAGTCGAGTCAAAACACCCACATCTGCCCGGGAAAAGCTGGAAATTCCCCTCAGCCTGTGATCGTTGCGCTATCTGCAACCAACTGCAAGGGCTATATAGTCCCTCGTGCCCACTACGAACTTGAACCCTAAACCCTAAGCCCTAAACCCTAAACCCTGAAACCTTCGAGATGCCACCAAGAAGCTGAGCATAGAGTTGGCGCGGATGGTGCCGGCTCGTGCTCGGCTTGGGGTGACAGCAGCAAAAGCCAGTACCTTCCAGGATGGGCAAAGAAGGCCTTAGAATCCCCATCATCAACCCAATAAAAGGGGCCTTTCTCAGGGATTCTAAGGTATAATAGCCCATCCTGGTTCTCACCGGCGACGCAGGCGGAAGTTGTTACGCATGCTTCGGTGCGGAATGTGCGGCTGTAGTCTGCAGGAGATCGCCAACTGTCCGGTTGATCTATTCTGCTCTTATGCTCTTCGCACCAAGTGCAAGGACGCCTGGCAGATATGTCCCCGCATGTCCCACACTGACCTTTTTAATGCACGATTGTCCTGAAGATCGCAGCCCTCAAGACAAACCATGTGACTGCAAACCTCCTGAAAACTGACAGCCTGAAACCCGCAAATGCCTCTTGAGGTCCATGAAAAAATTGGCTCGAGAGGGTCCACCATGACTTCGTGGGGTCGACTTTTTGCCCTATCAACTTCCACGATCGCAGTTCCCATCTAACCCAACCTTTGCAGAAGCAGCCCCCAGCCTGCCAAAAAAGCAGGACCTCAGCAACGGAAGCAACCCTAAACCCTAAACCCTCAACCCTCAACCCTCAACCCTAAACCCTAAACCCGTGTCGAAAGCACAGCAACAGCCCGTTTTAAATGCCGAAAAGTCTTGAGGACCAGGATGGGCAAAAAAAGTGCCTTAGAAATCCCCCCTAATCAACCATATACAGGGGCCTTTATTAAGGGATTCTACGGTATAATCATAGCCCATCCTCGGACAAAGGGCCTTTTTCAGGAGTTCTACGGGAGAATAGCCCATCCTGGAGCGACAGAACGAGCGATCGCATGAATTTAATGAGAGAACGAGTGAGCGCCCAACATCAGGTTCTCCAGCTATAACCGTGTAACACCTTGGAATCATGACCATTGAGCCCTTAGTATTATAGCTGGTTAACCTTCCCAAAAGCCCTTAATTTTAATATTAAATGTAATGGTAAGGACGCAAGGACGCACGCATTCCATTTTGAATATAAAATTTAGGTCTTTTGCCCACAGTTCTAGACCCTTGGATTCATCACCCAGTTCTTTCTAGCGGTTACAAATGATTTCCTCTTCCAAAATCCTGTCTCACTGCGTTCATATTTTAATGGGCGTTGGGAGAAAGTGTGTTCTTCGGGGCTTCGGTTGAGCGTTGAACGCTGGTGGCCCAAAGCCGCCGTGGGGCTCCTTCTGCAATGAAATAGACACTTTGGAGTCCAAACAGGCTAAACCCTAAACCCTAAACCTTAAACCCCAAACCCTAAACCCTAAACCGGCTCTTGTTTTCCTCCTTTTGTAGGATTGGATCCTATATGATATTCGGTCCAGACGTTGTGAGCGCTTAGTCCAGGCTATCGGAGTAAAGAGCGCAACCATGTGGTCGACACTAAGAAGTCCCTAAAATTGCAGGCGTGCACAAGCTTCCCAGTGACCGGCACGACTACATACAGGGAACTTAGTTGCTGAGTTCTTAAGCCCCAAAAAGGTGTACACTTTCAGTTCGATAGGGGATTGTAGTAACCCAAAAAAGTGTAAAGTGTACTACCTCAGCTACTAAGGGAATGCAAGCCTTGAATGCGTGAGGCAAAGTTTTTGTCGCCATTGTGGTGCCCGCCCTGCCATGACTGGAGAAGTCAAATATGAGCTATCGCACACTCGCATCCAGAAGCCGTTTATTTGAGACACAGGAAACCCTAAACCCTAAACCCTAAACCCGAAGTCATGGAGTCACCAAGCCCCTAAGCTTTCCAAGCCCAAAGCCCTGAAACTACGTAGCCTGAAACCTCAGAGTAATTCGACGCCTTCGGCCTTCCCTGAACCGTCAAACTTCGAAGCAAACTTCGACGTCAAGCCCTAGACCCTAAACCCTAAACCCTAAACCCCCAGCTGAGGACGCAGACGGAGATGTGCTTTCGTTGGAGTGGCCGCATGGGTGTGCGGCCCATGATCCCAGACATGGAAAGAAACCTGGGAATCTCAAGAAACAAGCACTGGCTACGTCGCTCATATCTCGGCATGAGTTGTTGGGTAAACTTGGGCAGTGTAACCCTTGAAACTGGGCCAGACAGGGCTTCGGCTTCGTGTCTACAGGCCTTCGTGTAAGCTCGCAACCGAAGGTGGGCCTATGTGGGCTCTCATGCTATTTGTGGAGAGATCCGAACACGCTCTTCAAGACCGTGTAGTTTGTACCCGTATCTAAAAGATAGCCATGCAACACCCTACGCCCTTGACCCCCTCCGGTGTTTGCCCATGCACGGAGACGTAAACTGGCATTGAACGTTTAACTTTACTTTGCTTTCGTCACAGGGGGCAGGGTCGAGAGCTGTTGTGGCGGCAACCCCCACTTGTGAAAGGCTTGGTTCCGACATGGTCTGATGCAGACGTGTTGTTAAAACAAAACCGATTTCCCCGCACCCTCCGTGCACCAAATAGTACCGTACTGGACCTGTCCAACCCTTTGGCCGCAACATGCAGAAAGCCACCATCAAAGTCCGCAACACGTGTGGCGCCCAAACTGACAAGACGCCTTCTATGAAGGCAGCCTGCCTGTTCATCACCCACGGAGCTAAACTAGCATAAAGTCACGGATCGTCGCTGATTACGGTGTACCCCTAAACCCTAAACCCTAAACCCTAAACCCTAAACCCTAAACCCTAAACCCCAAGAAGGGCTTCACGAGCCTTCGGGGCCGCTATCAAGCTCCGTGGACGAGCGCCTGAGCAAGCTCCCACCAAGAGGGCGGAAGGAGCTGCTGGTTTAGGGTTTAGGGTTTAGGGTTTAGGGTTTAGGGTTTAGGGTTTAGGGTTTAGGGTTTAGGGTTTAGGGTTTAGGGTTTAGGGTTTAGGGTTTAGGGTTTACAGCTGCTAGCTACGGCTCATCCCCGAATTGCAGAAGACACCAACTTAAACTGAGCTTTCGCACTACCACATTGATCCAACACAACTCGCATTTACCCGTGAAGTTGGGGGCTTTCAAGTGCCGAAGCAGCTTTCAATCCTCAATTCCGCAGCTATAGGCGTATGGGGTTGATTGCTCAAGCTCAGCAGCACTCTAGCCGGAAGTCACCCTAAAGCCTAAACCCTAAACCCTAAACCCTAAACCCTAAAATCAACTGAAGACCTAAACCTCCCCAGAGCAAGGTCGCCTCTGGAGGATCACGCCTCCATGGCGTCACCACGGACTTGAGCCCCGCTGGCGTGTTTGCATGCATCCGTGGCTCAGCAGCAAGACTGAGCCTCTACTAGGAGGCTACTATAGGGTTTAGGGTTTTTGCAAGCAGGGTTTAGGGTTTAGGATTTAGGGTTTAGGGTTTAGGGTTTAAGAGCATGTGTGGCCATTTGGCAAGTGTCTTTCATAAGCACTTCAGGTTTGTATACGGCTTGCATTTGACCTCAGCCTGGTCTAGAAGGCGACCCGGTGCTACTAAAAACTTGAAATTGCAGTCAACCAAGTTGGCCACTTTTACATGGGTCGCCTTACTCGTGAATGCCTGTCTCATCGACAACCTCCCATTTCGGTCCCATGTCATTTCGTCTACATCCAGTACGTGACTTTGGCTGACATCGTCAAAGCTGTTGGCGCGGTGTCTTCCCTTGAAGCTGACTTTGGGAAGAGCAAAGAATGGAGGAACGTGAAAGGAAAGCGAGCGGAGGAAGAAGAATCAAGTGTGGGACCTGCCGAAAGCACAGAGCCTGTGGCTTGCCTGTTCAGCAGGGGAAGTGCACGTCAGTGCACGAAGTGTGACGCTCAAGCGCTTAGAGTAGGATTTTCGAAGGGTCAAATAGAGCACATCCGGCGGATATCCTTCTAGCACATGCGAGTGCCTCACAAGCATGCGGCTGTTGTAAAATAAGTAGTGCCTTTTTTTTCTGGACATACTGCCACTGACGCCACTGAACCAAAAGCAAAGACACTGAGAGCGCGCGCGTCCGGCGGGACGACCATCCGGGCAACGACATTGAACCAGCAAAAAACTTGTCCAGGCTCTTGCAATGTAACACGACACATGGACCATACTCCCCTTAGAACCTTAATAAAGATAATACTTTTGATATCCTCTTGGGTTTTATATAAACAAAAAATATTTCCCAAGGAGGATATAGTGGAATCTGCGGACCAAGCGGCGCCTATAGGCACGACTTCGACTCAAAATCTGCAGCGAGAATGTTCTGCTCGAGTTCAAATCAAGCTGAAAGGCTTCCTCTAGTAGGCAGTAGGCAAAGATTTTCCTGTTGAAGCCAAAACGTTCTAAAACAAAAAAGGAGCAAAATCCATGAAACATGTCTGAGGCCTTCGAAGCTTGGGAGGTTAAGGGTAGCAGGGGCCCGCAGCAGGGTTCATAGTTCCGCTGTACAAAGCATCACTTGAGAAGTCTGAAATTCCGGCACAAGATCCAGGCAGAAGCCTCATCCACAATGCAGGATGGGCAACAGATTTAAAGAATTCCTGGCGTCTAACTAAATCACGAATTATACTGCAACATGCTGTCGGCAAAGGGCCGGCATCGACTCTAGGGAAGGTCCCGGTGCCAAGCTGCAATATTTTGACCTACGTGCCCTAAACCCTAAACCCTAAACCCTAAACCCTAAACCCTAAACCCTAGGCTCTAACGCTGTTGGCAATCCGGGCCCTGAGGGCTTGCATCCATTCCTGCAGTTCTTCGAACTGCTCTGATTCTCCATCGCAAAGAACATGCTCGGAAATGAGCAAGTGCTTCGTGTAGGTTGGATGGTTGGGTCCAACCCTGCTCATCACAGAACATGGCGCCCTTGGCAACTCGGTTACAAAGAAAACACAGGCCATGCATGTCAGAACTGTTTGCCTTGAATTCTGAGTGAAACTTGCCAGGTCCCGGTCACTTTGGCATTTTGGTCCTGCCAAGAGCACAGAACCTCTCTTCAGCCGCTCTGAATCTTTCTCCAAACCCAATTCTCGGCAGCCAGACATCATGTACAGCTGCTACCAGTCGCATGTTGTGAGTTCGCAACATGTGGTTGTTTACATTAACAAGGATTTCCGGACTCAGAACTCAACAAGCCCCAGAACCAAACCATATAAGACACTTCCTACTGCACGCTGGCTTGGTGGGGCCATTGGCTTGAGCCCTCCCATGTGCAGATTGCGTCTGGACGTCATGCAGGATGCTCTCCAGTTCCTTCATGGACCTGTTTCCCTCTTGTTCCAAGCCATGAGAACACCAAGAATCTGCTACAGCCCCTGTCGAGGAAGAACTCGGTTCTCAGAAACCTCCCCTTACAACACAAGATTGTCATTGAAAAGATGAGATCGGGCTGATAAGGGCGCGTGGGCACCTCTGAGGTCACCGCAGCTCCCTTAGCACTGAGCGGCTCCTGATTTCGGATGTTGGGCTGGCGATGGAAGTCTACTTTCCAAAACAAGAAACACAATAAGAGCACTTCAGTACAACCATGGGTGATGGGTTGTGTATCGGGGTGCACACGCACTGGAGCGTCGGGATTTGGGGTCTCTCCATGTACCTCTCTTGATGGCTCTTGTGGGGCGCTCTCCGTCTCTCTCTTCCCCCCTCTCTCTCTCTCGCTCTCTCTCTCTCTCTGTCTCTCTCTATCTCTCTCTCTCTCTCTCTCTCTTCCTTCCTTCCTTCCACACATAACTCCCGAGGGGGAACTCCCGAGGGGGTCGTCCCGGGGACGTGCTCTAGCGATCCGACTCTCTCTCTCTCTCTCTCTCTCCCTCCCCCGCTCGCAGTCTGGCGAGGCTGCAGGCGCATGTGACCCCGGGGATTCTTCGCAAAACGAGTTCTTATCTCTGGGTCTGTTCCTCGCATTCTCTCTCACTGATGTTGCCTCTCTGCCTGCCATGATGCCAAGCTATCAATGCCGAAGTATGCCTTTCGCTATGCTGATCTGTCTACCTACACAACGTGAGTGTGCATCTGCTGATCTACCTGGTCTGTCTGGCGTTCAGCGGCTTCAGGCCTAATGTCACATCAACACCCTCTACAATTTACAAGCCACCCTTCAGCAACGAAGCTTTCTGAACTTCTTCACTGGCACATACACATTCTCATGGATCAGCCGTGTCCGAGATCCTGGAATCTTTTTTATGAGGAAGCCATGCCAAGCTAAGGAAATGTTCACGCTGCTCGCCTTGCAAACGAAACTGAAACATCCCCTCAACGACCCCCCCCCCCCCCCAAAAAAAAAAAAAAACAAAGAACATGCGCATGCACATGCGCCATCTTTGCCAGGTGCCTTCGCACAGCAAGAAGGCCCAGAACACCAGCGCCTCTTCAGGGACCGGTGTACTACGAACCCTTAACCCTAAACTTGGCCCCTAAACCCTATATAAGCCCTAAGCCCTCAACCCTAAACCCACTGGGGACCGCCCCTTTTGGCCTGGGCTTGTTGGTCCACCGCCGGCCGTCTTGCAGCCTCAGCTCAGAGGGATGCTTTCTGAAACAAGAGGAGCACGAGGCGCCCACTACGAGCACTGCAGGTGTGCGCGAACTCGGACCAAGGATGGAGTGGGTTTAGAGTTTAGGGTTTAGGGTTTAGGGCTCACGTGTGCACGCAATCCGGAACCCTACCGGAGCCCTCGATGTCTCGAGCCGTGGGGCCCGGATGAGGCGACAGCGGTGGCAGCCGCAGTTGCGAGGCTTTTGTGCCCGGCGCAGGGACTGGCACGAAAAGCAACGAGATTCAAGAATTCGCGAACGAGACGTGAGCTCATCAGGTAGATATCATGCACTTGCCATGTCGTTGAGATGCATGGAGCTTGGTTCTGGTGACATTGTGCTCCGGTGCGTTCCCCTCCCTCCCCAAGAACCTACATGATTTGCCACCACACTGGCTGATTGGGGTGATGCGGGAGGTTGGGAGGCTTGAGTGCATTCAGTGGTTCATAAAGTATATCGATCTATCCATCATCATATCTATTGAGAATGCGAGGTCAAACGGGAGCAGTCTAGGACCCAGCAAAGCCAGTGGACAAAGGTTTGTATTTGTCCGTGGTTGGTTGGAACCCGCGACGACGTAGGGTCGCACCGCCTAAAGTTTGCTTGAGCCTTGCAGTCTTGTCACTTCAACACGCCAGCTGCTTTTAACCACAAAGAGCACTCGAGTTTAGCAGGCTTAGCATCGAAAACCTCCCCTAAACCCTAAACCCTAAAGCTGCTCAGATTGCCTGCGTCGCCATGCCTGAGCCTCGCCGAGTTCGGAATCTTCTCGCCGCGTGCTGGAATCGATCCGCCTGCAGTCTCCGGGTTCAGGGTTTAGGGTTTAGGGTTACAGGACCACCAGTTACTTTTTTCTACGTGCATGAAAGAAGCCAATTGATGGCGAGAGAATCTTCTGCTGGCTGCGGCATGTAGCACAGCTCCCCCGAAACCCTAAACCCTAAACCCTAAACCCTACTCCCTACTCCCTTGGAGTGGGACTTTGCGCCTTAAGATGCAAAGAAGCAGTGTCGCGGCCTCGGTTCCAGGCTGCCTCGTTGCTGGCACCCTTGAGAATTTTGGGCGCGGGCACCCGTTTCTCCTGGCTTCAACTGAGCATAGTGTTTCCACCTGTAAGGTGGCGCTACAGTATTTTTACTGCCTTATGCTAAGCCCTACCCTTCCCCTGTCAGCATCGATTTGCAACGTCAAGCAGGATGTGCAAGGCCTCTGTTACCATTTTCTGCCCTCGGGGAGGCCGGGGCCTCCACCCGCGTTATTTAGGGACGTCAAGAGACAAACTTGCGGCTTCAGGACAATGCGGAGTGGCATGCTGGGCCTCTCAACACAAACCCCAGGGCACGCACACCAGCCAGTTACGGCTGGATCTGCCACTGCACAATTGATCCCTAACCCACCCGGCACATGTTGTGGGTGCGGTTTTGCACTCAGCTTGACAATTTACAAGCCGAGCTCGGAGGCTTCAGGCGCCTATAGGTCTGTCCTTCATGGCATAGGCAGGGAGCATTGCCATCAGCGACACGTGGCGACACTCAGGGAAAGCCCTGAGCTGTTCTTGCCCCACAGCTTCTGGTGTGCTAAGGCCCAGGGATGGCGCCTGAACTTGAGGGTTGACCGCTACGGTTGTAGTACCTCGCTTGGCAAGGTAAGTTAACTAAGTTAAGCTAGCTAAGTTAAGTAAGCTAAGTCAGTTAAGTTTAAGATAATTAAGCTTGTGTTATTAAGTTAAGATGACATCTAATCATCCGGAACCTGCACACGCTGGGAAACCCACAGCCCTTGCAGCTGACGACTTCGGCCAAGGGTCAGAGTGTCAGCAGGCTCCACACTGAGCACTTGGCTCGCGGCAATGTCCTGGCCACCACACATAAGTACGGCCGAGAGCAAGGAGGTTCTACCTCCAACCGATACGGATGCTCAATGAAACTAAGAGGGCTGTAAAGGTGTTGGAGGCTTTGGGCTCTTGTTGTGCATGCACTTCTGCGGCATTCTTGAAGGTCGCGGGAGAAGTCCGAGCTGTTGGGTAGGGGGGGGAGGGGGGAAGGTGGGAGGTGGGCATCCTAAGCCCATGCGTTTCACCCTGCATGGTCCTTGCCATACTTCCAGGCTTTGGCATCGAGATCGGAGTAGGCGGCTTTGCCAAGCCGGCGCAGCTCCTGTAATCATATGGGATGTCACTCCTTCTTCTAACAGTCCGTAGTAGGGATTATGGTAGGGGGTACTAGAATCCCTATGAGGGACTGTTAGTATAAAGGGGGACATCCAATAGCCCTTGAAAGACTCCTCAGCTTTTGGGAAGGGCTTCTTGGGGAGATGTTCAAGTACTCGGAACCCAAAGCCTGGACAACCCTGAGAGAACCTGGATCCCCCAAAAAACCCTAGGGAACCCGGAACCCCCAAAAAAACCCTAGGGAATCTGGAACCCAGAAACACCCCAGCACTTTCTGACACCTGCACCCTGGCAAGACAGTCCGGCGGTTGGAGGATCCGGCGCTCGGCCAGGAGCTGGTCCTAGTCGTTCTTCGGACACAAAATCTGAAGGCCGTTTAGGTTTTGCTATACAGCTGTAATCGCTCACACTCGGACGAACTCTTAAAGGTCAGCATACAGGGCGTGGGTGTCGGAGGTGAGGGTTGGTGCATTTCGGATTGTGTGTTTGTGTGTGTGCACGTGCACGTGTGCGTGTCCGTGTCCGTGTCCGTGTGCGTGTCCGTGTGCGTGTGCGTGTGCACGTGCGCGTGCGCGTGTGCGTGTGTGCGCGCAGCGGGGGATGCATGCTCTGTGGGCTCGACTCAGCCAACCTCATCCACTTCTCTGCAGGTATAATGACAACCCTCGATCGTCCAAAGCGCAGAGATCCAGTGACCCTAAACCCCAAAACCCTGAACCCTAAACCCTGAACCCTTTTTGCAACTGGCTTGCAAAGTCACGCCAGGAACCCACCCCTGATGTCGCTCAAGTCGCTGCACTGGTGACAGAACCGAGAGAAGCCAGGAGCAGCAACTCAGAAGGTTGGCCGCATACGCGCGCACTGTACTCATGACAGTGCATGCAAACGCTGGGCAACCTCTTCAGAAAAACCCTAAACCCTAAACCCGAAACCCGAAACCCAAAACCCTGAACCCTAAAACCTAAACCCTAATCCCCAGCCCCCGACCTTTCCGGACCGAGGAGGGCTTCGCTCGGGCAGCCTTGCAGATCGACGGCTTCTGGCTTCCTTGGTTCAACGTAGTTGCTGAGTTCATAAGCCCCCCCCCCCCCCAACCCAAAAAAAACAAAAAGTGTACACTTTCTCAGTGCTATAGTTTAGAGTATCCCAAAACGTGCAAAGCGCACTCATTTCAGCTACGAGTACCAGGCAGGTCTGGTGGGATGGCAACAGCAACTCCCCCCCCCATGTTGGCAAAGGAAGGGTGCCCCCGTCTAGGGCTAGAGTACCTAGTCGAGTCACCTAATCTCACCCTCGGCTGTTGCAGATGGGGCTCAGACTGCGACCTTTGAGTAGCACGGGCACCTGCACTGGGCTCTCGACTAGGTTGCTTTGTGTGTTGTGTGCGGCTGGGGCCAAGTTAAACCTTAAGTTTCAGTCCATCACATCGAGCTGACGGCTGCAGTTCCAGTCCGCAAAAACCATGCTTCTGAAGTTTGGAAGGCTATAAGCCGTCTAACCACAGTGAGAACCAAACAACCCCGAGCCCCGAAAGCTTCCGCCAGCAAAATCCAACAGTTGATAGCTCCTTGCCCCGAAAAATGCTTGCACAGCCAATGCTGAATGTGGAGGGGATCCCCTCCTAAAGACTCAAACCCAGCGCTCCGCATTTCTGGGGGGGCCCCACTGGCCTTCACCAAACCGACTGCTGCGACACCTGGGCATCGCACCCTCTGGGGCGGTGGCTGCCTGGGCAGTTTCGACCTAAACCCTAAACCCTAAACCCTAAACCCTAAACCCTAAACCCTAAACCCTAAACCCTAAACCCTAGACCCTAGACCCTAAACCCTAGGCCCGAAACCCCAAGATGGAAGAAGGAAAGAAGCGTCGAGCTTAGGCAGCTTACTCCGGAAGCTCCACGCAGAGCGCCGTGTCCGCCAAAAATAATGGAACAGCTTGTAAGAATGCGCTCTGTGTGTGTGTGGGTGGGGGTGGTAGGAATCGTATGGCACAAGCAAGCACAGGCAAACAGAGTTGACGAGAGTTAAGCTGCCCATAGCCCCCGTGCAGGTTATCAAGTCGATCCCTGCAGCGTTGGGACATTCCGACTTGCTAGCCTTCGGCAAAGGGACGGCTCGAATGATCGAAGCACCGTGTTCACCATGTTCTGCTGCACGTCTTGAAGGTGCTTCCTTGAGGCAAGACGGTTGCGTTCGGTCGTGGCAGTGACAGCTTACAGACTGGCTAGGTTGTGGGGTCAGAGCCTGCCTACGAGCATTTTTGAGTCGAGTGCGGAGCAACATGGGGCCGAGCGCGAAGAAGCGCAAAACTAAACCCTTAAACTCAGTCCAGTCCAGGCAAACCTGAGGTTCTGCACTTCACTACAGGGATGCCTGCAGCTTCTCGGGTCTGCGAAGAACATCTGCCCAAAACCCGACCAACCAAGTGCACAGCTCTGGATTCTGTACTGTGAATGCGAAACGTGTCCGATGCAGATTTCTGCTTCACAGGCCTCTCCAGTAGCAACTAACCACAACTCGCCAGGAACTGGCACAAGAAACCTACCAAAGAATACAACATTTGCAGGCCAGTTGCTTTTCTGAGATCAACCGCTGGTGGTAAAGGCTCATCATGATTCTGCATCTTGTCGACGCGAGGTGACTCCAGCAAATGGTGCTGATGCTGCATATCATGCGCCACAACTGAGCCATCCGAGCACACTTTCTGGATGCAGGAGACTGTCTCAACCTGGCTAACTTCTTCATTCTCCCAAGGGGAGGCGGAAACATCTGGCACTGCTGGCTGGCACTGCATCGATGCGGCAGAATCCGGACTGCGAGGTTCAGAAGTGCTGAGTGTCATGCATCTCTCAGCTGGCAAGCAAATTGAGGCGTCCTGGAAGATTGGGGAAGAGCTGATGAGCGCTTGCGTCTCCTCCAGCACTGTCTCTGCAGCATTCGCCGGATCATCCGCAGCTTTGCAGTCTGGGGTTGGCGTCTGTGGCTGCCACTCCATCCCAATAGCTGGGCTAGCAAACGAACTCTTTGTCTGCAGCGTCTCCGCGTCCTGCATGACAAAAGCCTCTGCTGCGGCATCCGGGGCATAGACGCTACCCACGCTGTCGTCATCAGTCGCGACGAAACACGATGCCGAGCCGGTTGCAGCACCATGGCCTGCCACGGGCCCAGACACGCATGTCTTCGCAGAAGTTTTACACGCGAGGAAAAACTTGGTGGAAACCTGATGACATTTTAACTTACCATCCTCAAACTTCAAAGGTTCTGTGGCACATGCTGAATCAATCCTTCTGCATCGATGCCTTCCAGTCCACTGAAGAATGGAAAAGCCAGGTCATCCTCAGGCCAATACATCGGAGCAAGGATTGAATGAGAGAACCTACTCTTGCTGCGTCTTGGCGCCATTGTTCAGGGCAGAAGGGTGCAGCAGGTAGAGATTTAAGGGTTCGGTTAGAGATTGTCATTGGACCGTGTTGGAGTCACTAGCTTGGTTCGCGAGCGCTTATGCCAGGAATATTCATCATGGCTTCGGCTCGAAAACCATGGAGTTCGGAAGCAAGAAGCGGGCCAATGACGTTTTGGCTTTGGCACGTGTCACCCAAGAAAACAGGTGCAAACACATGCTTACCAAGAGCATGCGTGTACGACGCTCGACAAATGTGCTGCAAAGATTGCTTTGGCCCAGTGCTGCAAACGGCAAACGACTCTTCATGAAAGTACAGGGGTCTCTAGGACGAAAACTGACGACTTCTCCACACAGCCACCAAGAAAACACTTTTTGTGAAAGTGGGCTGTTGAAACTCGGCATGTTGTCGCAGACGCATTCTTCCGTTTCTCGGCACCATTGTCGCTTTTCGTTTTGATACAGGGACTCGGGAAAGGCGACCCGTTGATTGGACGTGAGACGCCAATGTACGCAGGGGATTCAGGAAGTTGACGAAGTCGACTGCGAGATCCTTTGTCCCCAATGAACGCATGCATGTTGCAGCTACGAAAAACAGCTAAAATCAGTACGAAAGTATCGAAATTACCAAGGAACGCTTGGGCTCAACATGCCTGAAAACATCATCCAACATGGTTGCTGAAGGACCTCCGCCCGAAAGAAACGCAAGCAAAGCATGGGGTCAAGCCTACCAAAACTTACGAAGAATAGGCCGTTTAGATGTTTTGAGGAGAACTAACAATAGCTCATGCCGCGTGTCATGGGCAGCGCATGGGTTGAATCCAAGCAAATTTTGCCTCCGCGAACGATACCCTGAACGATACCGGTACGATACCCTAACGATACCGCTCTTTTGCGATGGAAAGGCAACCAACCAACCCCTAAACCCTAAACCCCGTACTTAAAATGGCCTGTGACACAGCGGCGACATTGTCAACAATTCCATGCATGAGTGTTTCGCCCGAAGGAAACGCAGATCGGTCGACTTCCTAAAAAGCTTCCCCGCAGTGATTTGCCTTAGCACAAGAACAAAAGGTCTACTTTCCATGTTGCGTGTACCACTGTAGGCCTCTTGGCCAGTGCAGAGCCAGGCCGCGTCGAAAAAACCAATGCCAATGTAAGAGGAGAAACAAGTTCAGATAAGCCAGTCATCTCTCACAAGCCCGAAGCGGATCACACGGGTCGATCCCAACAAAGGTTACCCACGCGACCCTAGCTTTAGTGCGAGAATTCTGCCACATGCACACACACTCTTCGCACCTGCCCTCGCCCTCACTCAGTACCAGACGATGGGATGAAAATCAAAAAACTGCGCATCGGCAAGCCCAGACTCGGCTTCGTTGGAAATGGTGACCGCCGTGGGCGCGTCGTTCTCGCTAACATCCTCAAGCGAATGCAGTGGATGTGAAGCGGGACAAAGCCTACAGCCTAAAGTCCTGCGATCCCACATTCCTCAAAAAGCAGTGTGCTTCGTGCACGTAAGCATCGAAACACTCAAGAAGGCGACCAAAGGGTCGGCAATATTCGGCAATCAGGCCCGAGGCTGCAAGTTGCCGTCGAATCTAAGAGGCTCTGGGGCCTCGGGCCTTAGGGCCTTAGGGCCTTAGGGCTCGTGCGATAAGAAACCTCTCAGAACTCCATCCCCCCCCTATACCTTTCACCATGGGACTTCGATGACTTCGGCGCAACATCTGCGCTGCTCCATGGCATCATCACCATCCTCCTCCTGGGAGAGCTGCTTTAAGAGGTTGCTTCGGAAAACGGCCGGGGAGAAGGTATGCCCTTTGGCTCCAAACCTTTCATGGGTTGAGGCTCCTTACATACATGTATATATATATATATATGCATACTTATTTGTTGTTAGTTTTTCCATTTTGGGGGGGGGCCAAACGTCATCCATCCGGTCAGGGCGGCTCAACAAACAAAAGTCTCAACGCGCGAAGTGGATATCTTGTCCCACTCGGAAGGCTGGCGCCTCCCCCCAAGACAATTTCCTTCGGAACCCCCCAACAGAATGGCAACCGCTTTGAAGCAATGAAATTGCATTGGTATGTAATCACTTCGGGGGATGGAAATGATTGTGGTACTTCGCACATGGTCGCGGAAGTGAATCAGGTCTTCCGCTTTTGGGTGTTGTATCTCCCGCCTAGGCGCCGTGCGCATTCGAAATCGCACATGGGGTTCGGAAGCAAGAAATGACTGCAAAAACAGGCCGGCGCCATCCAAGAAAACAGGTGCAAAAATGTGCTTCCCAAGACCTTGCGTGTACGACGCTCAACGAACGTTCTACAAAGATTGCTTTGGCCCAGTGCTGCAAACGGCAAGCGACTCTTCATGAAAGTACAGGGCTCTCTCGGACGAGAACATACGACTTTCCCACACAGCCATTAAGGAAATTGAGGGATATCATACAGCTGGTTGCGAAAGTGGGCTGTTGCAATTCGGCATGTGGCCGCAGTCGCGTTCTTCCTTTGCACGGCACAATTGCCGCCATCCTCTTGTTACCACTGCAGGCCTTCTTGGGCCAGTGTAGGGCCACGCCGAAAAAAACCATGCCAATGTAAGAGGAGAAACAAGTTCCAGATAAGCCAGTCATCTCTCACAACCCCGAAGCGGAGCTACCAGACCGATCACACGGGTCGATCCCAACAAAGGTTACCCAACCGACCATAGTTATAGTGCGAGAATTGTGCCACTCTCTTCGCACCTGTCCTCGCCCTCATTCACAGAAGGCACAGCAGGGCACTTTTTTAAATTTCAGGGTATGGTACCAGACGATGGGATAAAAGTCAAAAAAAACTGCGTATCTGCAAGCCCAGACTCGGCTTCGTTGGAAAAGGTGCCCGCCGTGGGCGCGTCGTTCTCGCTCACATCCTCACGGGACAAAGCCTAAAGTCCTGCGATCCCACATTCCTCAAAAAGCAGTGTGCTTCGTGCACTTAAGCATCGAAACAAACACTCACGAAGGCAACCAAAGGGTCGGCGACATTCGGCAATCAGGCCCGAGGCTGCAAGTTGCGAATCTAAGAGACTCTGGGGCCTCGGGCCTTAGGGCCTTATTGCCTTAGGGCTCGTGCGAAAAGAAACCTCTCAGAACTCCATCCCCCCCCTATACGTTTCACCATGGGACTTCGATGACTTCGGCGCAACATCTGTGCTGCTCCATGGCATCATCACCATCCTCCTCCTGGGAGAGCTGCTTTAAGAGGTTGCTTCGGAAAACGGCCGGGGAGAAGGTATGCCCTTTGGCTCCAAACCTTTCATGGGTTGAGGCTCCTTACATACATGTATATATATATATATATATATGCATACTTATTTGTTGTTAGTTTTTCCATTTTAGGGGGGGGGGGCCAAACGTCATCCATCCGGTCAGGGCGGCTCAACAAACAAAAGTTTCCACGCGCGAAGTGGACATCTTGTCCCACTCGGAAGGCTGGCGCCTCCCCCCAAGACAATTTCCTTCGGAACCCCCCAACAGAATGGCAATCGCTTTGAAGCAATGAAATGGCATTGGTATGTAATCACTTCGGGGGATGGAAATGATTGTGGTACTTCGCACATGGTCGCGGAAGTGAATCAGGTCTTCCGCTTTTGGGTGTTGTATCTCCCGCCTTGGCGCCGTGCGCATTCGAAATCGCACATGGGGTTCGGAAGCAAGAAATGACTGCAAAAACAGGCCGGCGCCATCCAAGAAAACAGGCAAAAATGGGCTTCCCAAGACCATGCGTGTACGACGCTCAACAAAAGTTCTACAAAGATTGCTTTGGCCCAGTGTTGCAAACGGCAAACGACTCTTCATGAAAGTACGGGGCTCTCTCGGACGAGAACATCCGACTTTTCCACACAGCCATCAAGGAAATTGAGGGATATCATACAGCTGGTTGCGAAAGTGGGCTGTTGAAATTCGGCATGTGGCCGCAGTCGCGTTCTTCCTTTGCACGGCACAATTGCCGCCATCTTCTTGCTACCACTTGAGGCCTTTTTGGACCAGTGTAGGGCCACGTCGAAAAAAAACCATGCCAATGTAAGAGGAGAAACAAGTTCCAGATAAGCCAGTCATCTCTCACAACCCCGAAGCGGAGCTGCCAGACCGATCACACGGGTCGATCCCAACAAAGGTTACCCAACCGACCATAGTTATAGTGCGAGAATTGTGCCACTCTCTTCGCACCTGTCCTCGCCCTCATTCACAGAAGGCACAGCAGGGCAATTTTTTAAATTTCAGGGTATGGTACCAGACGATGGGATAAAAGTCAAAAAAAAACTGCGTATCTGCAAGCCCAGACTCGGCTTCGTTGGAAATGGTGACCGCCGTGGGCGCGTCGTTCTCGCTCACATCCTCAAGCGAATGCAGTGGATGTGAAGCGGGACAAAGCCTAGAGTCCTGCGATCCCACATTCCTCAAAAAGCAGTGTGCTTCGTGCACTTAAGCATCGAAACACTCAAGAAGGCGACCAAAGGTGCGGCAACATTCGGCAATCAGGCCCGAGGCTACAAGTTGCCGTCGAATCTAAGAGGCTCTGGGGCCTCGGGCCTTAGGGCCTTAGGGCCTTAGGGCTCGTGCGAAAAGAAACCTCTCAGAACTCCATTCCCCCCCTATACCTTTCACCATGGGACTTCGATGACTTCGGCGCAACATCTGCGCTGCTCCATGGCATCATCACCATCCTCCTCCTGGGAGAGCTGCTTTAAGAGGTTGCTTCGGAAAACGGCCGGGGAGAAGGTATGCGCTCTGGCTCCAAACCTTTCATGCGTTGAGGCTCCTTACATACATACACATATGCATATTTATTGTTTTTTGTTTTTCCTTTTGGGGGGGCCAAGCGTCATCCATCCGGTCAGGGCGGCTCAACAAACAAAAGTCTCAACGCGCGAAGTGGATATCTTGTCCCACTCGGAAGGCTGGCGCCTCCCCCATCCTCCCCCCAAGATAATTTCCTTCGGAACCCCCCAACAGAATGGCAACCGCTTTGAAGCAATGAAATTGCATTGGTATGTAATCACTTCGGGGGATGGAAATGATTGTGGTACTTCGCACATGGTCGCGGAAGTGAATCAGGTCTTCCGCTTTTGGGTGTTGTATCTCCCGCCTAGGCGCCGTGCGCATTCGAAATCGCACATGGGGTTCGGAAGCAAGAAATGACTGCAAAAACAGGCCGGCGCCATCCAAGAAAACAGGTGCAAAAATGTGCTTCCCAAGACCATGCGTGTACGACGCTCAACGAACGTTCTACAAAGATTGCTTTGGCCCAGTGCTGCAAACGGCAAACGACTCTTCATGAAAGTACGGGGCTCTCTCGGACGAGAACATACGACTTTTCCACACAGCCATCAAGGAAATTGAGGGATATCATACAGCTGGTTGCGAAAGTGGGCTGTTGAAATTCGGCATGTGGCCGCAGTCGCGTTCTTCCTTTGCACGGCACAATTGCCGCCATCTTCTTGTTACCACTGCAGGCCTTCTTGGGCCAGTGTAGGGCCACACCGAAAAAAAACCATGCCAATGTAAGAGGAGAAACAAGTTCCAGATAAGCCAGTCATCTCTCACAACCCCCAAGCGAAGCTGCCAGGCCGATCACACGGGTCGATCCCAACAAAGGTTACCAAACCGACCATAGTTATAGTGCGAGACTTGTGCCACTCTCTTCGCACCTGTCCTCGCCCTCACTTTTTTTAAATTTCAAGGTATGGTACCAGACGATGGGATAAAAGTCAAAAAAAACTGCGTATCTGCAAGCCCAGACTCAGCTTCGTTGGAGATGGTGACCGCCGTGGGCGCGTCGTACTCGCTCACATCCTTAAGCGAATGCAGTGGGATGTGAAGCGGGACAAACCCTCAACTTAAGAATCGAAACAAACACTCAAGAAGGAGACTATAGGGCCGGCAATATTCGGCAATCAGGCCCGACTCTGCAAGTTGCCGTCGAATCTATGGAACTCTTGGGGGCTTTTCCTTAGGGCTCATGCGAAAAGAAACCTCTCAGAACTCCATTCCCCCCTGTACGTTTCACCATGGGACTTCGACGACTTCGGCGCAACATCTGCGCTGCTCCATGGCATCATCACCATCCTCCTCCTGGGAGAGCTACGGCCGGGGAGAAGGTATGCACTCTGGCTCCAAACCAGGCTCCTTTGTGAGGTTCTTTGCACACGGGGTGGTGGGGTCGTGCTGGTTGGCGGAGCGCAGCTTCCGCAGTGCGTCTTCAAGGTGCTGCTAAATTATATGCAGATATATATATATATATGTGTATGTATGTTGATTTGCTTATGTTTCGTCTTTTTGGGGTCAACAAACAAAAGTTTCCACGCGCGAAGTGGATACCGTGTCCCACTCGGAAGGCTTGCACCTCCCGCAAGAGAATTTCCTTCGGAACCCCTCAACAAATGGCAAGCGCTTGGCAGCCAATGCAATTGCATCGGTACGTAATCATGTCGGGGGGATGGAAACAAATTGCGGTACTTTGCACATGGTCGCGGAAGTACATCGGATCATCGTGTCTTCCGCTTTTGGGTGTTGTGTCTCCCGCCTAGGCGCCGTGCGCATTCCAAATTGCAGATGGGGTTCGGAAGCAAGAAATGGCTGCGATCCCACATGCGTAGTAGAAGAAGAAGAAGCCATTCATCTGTCACAACCCCGAAGCGGAGCCGCCGGGCCGATCACACGGGTAGATCCCAACAAAGGTTACCCACCCGACCATAGTTATTGTGCACTCGTATAAGGCAAAGCACAGCATTTTTCAATTTCAGTGCATACCAGACGAGGGATAAAGTCAAAGAACTGCGTATCTGCAAGACCAGACTCGGCTTCGTTGGACATGGTGATCGCAGTGGGCTCGTTTCTCTCGCTCACATCCTTATAAGCGACTGCAGCGGATGTGAAGCCCAAAGTCCTCTCCCCAATTCCTCAACAAGGAGCTCGCTTTGTGCGCGTAAGCATCGACTAACAAACGCTCACGAAGGCGACTATAGGGTCGGCAATATTCGGCAGTCAGGCCCGAGGCTGCAAGTTGCCGTCGAGTCTAAGGGACTCTGGGGGCCTTCGGGCTCCTGCGAAAAGAAACCTCTCAGAACTACCCCCCCGAAAAGTTTCACCATGGGACTTCGGTGCAACATCTCTGCTGCTCCATGGCCTCATCACCATCCTCCTCCTGGGAGAGCTTCTTTAGGAGGTTGCTTCGGAAAACGGCCGGGGAGAGGTACGCGCTCTGGCTCCAAACCTTTCATGGGTTCTGGCTGCTTTGTGAGGTCCTTTGCACAAGGGGTCGTGTTGGTTGACCTCTTTGGGGCCCAATACCGTTTAACAGTTCAGGTTTTCCCTCCAACTGGCCCACGCGTAGGCTCCATTCACAGTAGCCCCCTCCCTCCTCGCAGTCATCTTTTAAAGAAGTAGTTGTAGGAAAAGATGCAAGTAGGTTACAAGCCCTTGACCATCTGCACGCATTTGAGCCTCTGAGCTCACTTCCGTACGACGCATCCACTGATATTTCTGTAGCTGCATGGTATCAACCTTGCCCCAAAAAAAAAGAAAGCCGATTTGACATCTAAACCCGAACCACGCGTTGGCCCCTCAATGACCGGGATTGCAACAGCTTGTAGTCCAAACATCCCCGCAAGCTCCAAAGTCCAAACGCCCAGACCATGCCAAGGTCAGCGCGTAGAAAAAATCTTCCTCGCCTCAGTCCGCAAGGAGTTCCGTATAAGGCACCTGGTCCAAACAACCGCAGCACAAATGTTAGCACTTTGGCCAGTACGCGCTGCCTCTATGCGCACTGTGGGCTGACTGAAGTGCATGGATGTTGGCCCGCGGAAAAGAACGAGTTACATCCATGGCCTGTTTTGGCAATGCAATGCCGGATTTCACGGGCTCCAACCGAGGAGAAAAGGTCATTCACAAAAGCCGTCGACCCCAACAAACCTCCAAGCCTTCAAATTACATCTCACATCGAGCAGCAGGACCATGCCAAAGGTATGTGAGATGGAAAAAGCATGTCCTCCGTAATCGCCAGCTCCTTGCGACCGTTTCTTAGCCTATCATAGCCGATCGTTCGTTCTTGCCAATGGTCATAGTACAGCTAGCATTGCGAAGTTGGAAGAACGCCCAAAGAGCCTGTAGCTGCCAGAACTAGCGATTGCAGTTATCATAGCAGTCACAGCATTCCCTGTTTAAGCCTTCAAGCTTGCCGCATGAAATGCAAGCTAATCTTATGAACACTGAGCTTCGAGGATTCCCAAAAGTTCCTCCCGCTCTCACGACGTCATCCCAGGGCCTACCGCACTGACCCTCAAACTCCAATCTGGCGCTGGGCTTTTTAAAAGTTCGCGCATTGGGAGCTCATCTCCTCCAGAGAAGGTGCCGTTTTCTCGAGGCCTGCAAGCGAAGACAAGGCAAATGGTTAGCCTTTGGCCTCCAGCTGCAAACCTGTTGAAGCTCGGTTTTTTTTGCCACCCACCTAGCTGACCCCCTCTGGGACTTTCGGGTTTAGGATCTATGTGTTTGTTCACTACTTCTGGGCGTTCCTCTCCATAAGCATGCCAAGCCCAGCCCCCAAGCCATCAAGGAGCTTCTCAGAAACCATCCAACTGCAACGGCCACGAGCCAGGAATGATCATCCTGTACATCTCAGATCATCTCTGACAGACTTCGGGTCTTTGCACAGCGTGCCCAGAAAGTGACTCGAGGACCTATCCAGCTCGACTCTCAGGGCTTCCAGGTCTCTCTTGGCCAGCCCGAACCCTTGAAACCGGGCCCCTCAGACCCGAGGACAGCTCAGCTGAACAAAGGGGTTCAGGACTTCGGGGCTAGGGTTTGGGGTTTGGGGTTTGGGGGTTGGGGTTTGGGGTTTAGGGTTTAGGGTTTAGGGTTTAGGGTTCAGGGTTCAGGGGGCTCTAACGCGAGAAAGAAAAAAGTGACACCCTTCGACCAGTGGCCGGGGTGCATGCAATTGAACAGCTCGCAACCAAAGTTTCCGAAAGCATCATTCCAACATTCCCAGTGCTTTCGCAAAACGACGTCTCTAGATTTTCAGGCGTACCTCAATTATGGTAGAGGTTCTCACGAGAACGGTTTGGATTCAGGATTCAACTTCTTCCCGAACAGCGGCAGCAGCTCAGCAGTGTCGAGCCACATGTCACAATAGACTCAAACAAGTGGCCTTCGGATAAACGGCCCTAGAGTAAAGCCAAAAAGTTGGAAACTCAAGAGCCTCAATCCGTGAGAGTAAAGTTTAGGGACTATCTGTCCTTAAAAAGGTTGAGGGTTTTTTTTTTGCCACCCGCTTAGCTGACCTGTCGGACACTCTGCAGGGGAATGTCTGGATATACTGCATACGTGTGCACCTTCAAGGACACCAAATCAAGACTACTGGAACTCCCGAGTCCACAGCTGGGACAACAGCGCCCTCACCAACTATAAAACACACTACAACCTGCTGCCAGACTCAGGAGAGGCTTCAAATCACCACTGAAGCTGCATGAGATGTCAAACCAGACAGGTTTAGGGTTTAGGGTTTAGGGTTTAGGGTTTAGGGTTTAGGGTTTAGGGTTTAGGGTTTAGGGTTTAGGCCTAAACCCAACTTTTTGGGGTTTACTGTAGAGTGCTTGAGCTTCAAGGGAGCTCCGACTTACTTCGGTTCCCGTCTTGGATTCTAAGCCTTTCTCAACCATCTACAGGTTTAGGGTTTAGGGTTTAGGGACATTCCTACCCGTTTTGGTTCCCTTCCAACGCTCTCGGTCCCGTCATGCTTCGTGGCCGAAGGCATGGGTGGAAGATTCAAGCATGCCCAGTTTGCTTCGAGGAGTGAAAGGGCTCTTAGTCAGAAGTTGCCTGGTTATTTTCGGGTGAGCTCTGTCGTGGCCAGCATAACAGTCTGAGGGGGGTCCACTATACTCAGATCAGAAGTTCACCTTGCGAACGAAAACGCCACTCCTGCCTACGTCTGAAATGGCCAGCGACTTCGCGGGATGCTGACGCATATTGACCCGATGGCGATTTTTTGTGTCTCTTTTGCTAAGAAGTCCTGCGGCCATGAAAAAAGAATACATATATATATATATATATATATATATACATATACATATATATATATACATATACATATATATATATATAGAAGATGATGTCTTGAACGATGGATGTCAACAGCTAGGTGCTTCAACGAAAATCCTGCTCAGACTGGCTGCACCGGCCTTGACATCTTCTGCCGTCCATTGCTGGAAGCTGCTGTCACGGCAGGCTACGAGTATCTAGATTAGACTGAGTAGACTCGGTTTCGTTGTCGAGGGCCATGGAAAGTGCGCTGCAGGCTTGGGCTTCGGATGCCGGAATTTTTTTTTGGGTTGACGTGTAGACTTGAAGACTGCAGGGCGAATTCTTCGCCCTAAGCTTGCTGATTACTATGTTTGGAGGCTTAGGCACTCAATCCGCCTCCTTGAATGACCGGAACTGCACGCGGGAGCACTTCTCAAGTTGATGGTCACGCAACGCTTCTGCACATATTGTGCACGCAAACAAACCACATGAAGACCGAAATGCTGACATCCTGAAAGGCTCAGCCCTCGCAACCCGTGGCTGCGAGCTGCCGTGAAACTCCGAGTCAGTGAGGGTGCGGGCCAATCTAGTTTTGCAGGCATCGGCCACAAAACCACCCAAAAAACTCATTGGCTTGCGCATGTTGTTTTCGAAGTCGGTGGGGGATCCTTTCCTCTCTCTCCCTAGCTCCCTACCTGCTACGAGCTCCATCCAGTTGCCAGGTTCTGGCATGCACAGGATCGACCTCCAGCCGACAGTTGCTTGTCGACCTTTTTTAAGGGTACGTTGCAGCCCTATTGCGTACCATGACCGAAAACCCTTCCTCCTCAGCACTGGCTTTAGCGAGCTGCATTTCCTGGACCAATCCGCACTAGACACGAGATCTGCAGATTTACCCCCGTAACCCAAGTTGCGCGCCTTGTTGCAAACGCAAGCGTCTGAAGTCAAGCTTTTCGGGAATCGGATTCGGCTCAAACAAGGGAGCCAACGCTGAATCTGCAGCAAGTAGCTATTCCATCTGTTGTGCGGTGTAAAGTGCTGCAGAGCGCACACGTGTTTTTAGTCAACCTAAGCGATGACATACTGGAACAAAAACCCTCAAGCCGTCCCTGACTATGTCTGTACCGCGCTTAAAGCTGAACACGAGGGGCCCTGTTTGATGGAGCAGTGCTGCTACAGTAGTCAGGCATGAGTGGGACAGGCGGGAGGGATCTGGGGATACAGGCTTTAACTTTACTTCTGAGTTGGTGAGTTCTGTCGTTCCAAATCCCGAAATCCTTCTTGGGCCGCTGCTTGTGAGCGGGAAAACTCAGAGACCAGAAGTCAGAAGGCACGCAGCCATGCTACCCGCAGCTGCCACCACCACGGCCACCACAAAGAGACACTACAACAATGGCAAGACCTATCACAACACAGACGCCCTCTGCAGTACTCCACTGAGGCTTCGTAATCACTGTACTCCTCATGCTCAAGATCGAACAGCTCCCATGCCCCCTAAACCTTCCCCCACAAGTCCATAGCCTATGGCAGTCTTGCCTGCTAGAAGCGAATCTCACATGTCTGGGTTAAGGACTGCCTCAGGGCCAACTCTGTGCAATGAGCAGCAGTGCCAAGCATCGAACATTAACTATAATGCGGTACAGCCTGCACTGGGAATCTGGCGATCGCGACCGCTGCAGATTCTCGCTGAACTGCACGGTCTTTTTCGTGACGGGATCCTGTTGAAAGGTAAAAAAGGCGCTCCAAGTAACACATGTCAGTAGCAGCCGGCTGGCACGTCGGTGCCCAGCATAAAGCCCAAGTCACCTCTGCATCCTTCAAACAAAAGTCCCGAATTTGCCTTTGCTGCAAACTGGTGCCGAGGTCCTTCACAAGCACAGGCTCGTGCGTATTCCACAAGGGGATGTAGCGGACTTTGAGGCCGCCCCGAGGGATGATCCTGAGTATCTATTTTGCCTGAGTTTAGAGTACCTCAGAGGGGATCGGGGTAAACAGACGGGGGCACAAACCTGCCGCGAACTTTCGGGTCTGCCGCACAACCCGCTGCGCGATTCGTGTTCCAACCTGCTGACTTCCAACTCATTAGACTCACAAGTCAGTCTTCTGGGCGGGGAACGCGCCTGCTTTTCTTAAGGTCAAGCATTCCCAGAGGGGGGTTGGGGGGATTGCCAATCCTCCGGACGCTGATGCTAAGATGAGGGCTCAGCCAGTTTCCCTTCGGCAAAAAGCCGATTCCTGCGTGCGCAAGGCAAAGGGCTCAGAGTTGAAGCATCAAGCTTCTTCCGGGCTATGAGCTGCTGGGGCTCCAAAGGTTCATGTTTAGGGTTTAGGGTTTAGGGTTTAGGGTTTAGGGTTTAGGGTTTAGGGTCCGGTTTCAATGAAAGCTGAGGCGGCATAACGAGGTGGCTAACTGCCAGACTCCCACCACGATCTCCTGCTGAAACTTGTGAAGAACCGAAAGCAGTTCTGCCTTGCCTGAGCCCTGTCCCACTCTTACAACCTTGTCAGCGATCTCTCTCTCTCTCTCTCAAGTGCCTCCAAGCCTGCACTCTTGCAACCTGGAGAGGCAACTGGGGACCCCTAATGAGAAAACTACTCTCCTCACATGTCCCCCCTACCTACCCTCTAAACCCTAAACCCTAAACCCTAAACCCCAAACCCCACCCCCCCTACCCTTTCAGGCACGCACCATTCACCCGACTCGATGTGCTTCTTGTGCCAAGCAGTGAGATCCATAGAGGCCGGCGGCTCAAAGCCTCCGAGTTAAGTTTAGGGTTCAGGGTTCAGGGTTCAGGGTTCAGGGCTCAGGGCTTAGGGCTTAGGGCTTAGGGCTTAGGGCTTAGGGTTTAGGGTTTAGGGTTTAGGGTTTAGGGTTTAGGGTTTAGGGTGTAGGGATGGTTGTTTTTGCCGTTTAGGGATGGTTTAGGGTTTAGGGTTTAGGCACAAACGTCCTGCCCCCATTGCGCGAAGAAAGTGGGCTTGGGGTTTAGGAGCATAAGCTTCCTCCGAGAACTCTAGGGCCTCATGGGTTGGCACCGAATTCCCCTACCCGGTGCTTGTACGAATTCGGTGACACGAGTGCTGGTGCAAACTTCTGTTGCTTGTGAGTATGGGTTTAGGGTTTAGGGTTCAGGGTTCAGGGTTCAGGGTTCACGGTTTAGGGTTTAGGGTTTAGGGTTTAGGGTATTCCGTTTGGGAGCGTTGTTGCTGGTTCAGGCAGACAAGGAAGAACCAGGCTACGAAGACCAAGAGGTAGTGCAGGCGAACCAAGTAGCTAAGCAGCTCGCACTGTGCTGCTGCTCAGCGGTAGTTGCTCTAGGACGGTTGGTGGGGGAGGTGCCTCTCTTCTTCCAAGAAGGCTCGTGGCTTCACCGACGATATAGCTGGCACACTACGTTTGTGTTCCGAAGCTTGGCCTTTCAATGCTACTGCACAAGTAGTGGCAACAACCTGGCAACAAGCATCTTCGGGGACAGTTTTGACGAAGACCATCCTGAAGATACAATGATGCAACCGGCCATGTGCTGCACATGAACTCACCCAACTGCTTTAGACCGGCACGATCGCACACAAATCGCCCGCGTCTCTAAACATCACATGGGCTTCTGATAACGCAAGACCGATCCAGAGGATTAGCTGGTATATCTATCCTACTAATCCCTTCCCCCTTTTATTAAATACCCCCCTAATAATGAAAATACTTTCCGGAAAAACCTCCCGAAACCGAGCCCGCCTTTTAAAACCTATTCCGAATTAGGGGGGGGGTTCAGGGCTCCTGAAACCCTGAAGCCAAGGAGGGTTTAGGGTCTAATTAGGGTTTAGGGTTTAGGGTTTAGGGCTTAGGGTTCATTGAGGGTTTAAGCTTCGGAGTGAGTGTGCGTGTGTGTGTGCGAGTGAGAGACAGAGTGACTGAGTGAGTGAGTGAGTGTGTGTGTGTGTGTCTGTCTCCGTAGCTCTGTCTGAGCCTCGCTGTGCTGCGAAAGTTGAGCTCTCCCCTTCTCTCTGTCTCCTGTCTCTCTGTACAGCACAATGAAGTACTTCATTACTTGAGTAACCCTGAAGTCTAATTTGGCGACATTTCGATAAAAAGACCCCCTAATAATAAAAATACTTTTCGAATTTTTAAAGGGGGGGCGGGGAGGGGGGGACCCCCGTTTAATATTAGGGGGAAGGGATTAATTGCTTAAGAACCCCGGAAAAAATCTTCCTTACTAAGGGTGATATGGGGATTGTTATGTTTCTATTCTCTTGGGGTTCTTAAGCAAATAGTAGCATATCCTGATGCACAGAACCCCCCGTGTAAGAGCCCGTGCCGTCCGGCAGGCGATGCCACACCCTGGGCAGCGCTGGCAGCTTTAGTTTTTTGGGCCTTCTCAGGTTTCGAAAGTTAACCAAATAATGCTTGGCACCCAGCCTGATGGTGTTTGCACTCCAAAACCCCAATGGGCTACGTCATCCCGTCCTGCAACAGATTCTACAAGAAGGCCATGTCGGCTCTAACCTCAACGTTGCTGTGTTGCTGCGTCAGCTCTGAAAGTCGCATTTGGGGACCACATTGCCCCCGGGACCGCTGGAGCAGACACAGGCGGCTTCCCTGCATGGCCTCAAGCCCGCTTCTGAGACTCCAACAATAAGAAACGGGCCTCTGGACGGAAGACAACAGACCCATAACCGCTGCTCCCTTCCATGCTGCAGGGCGTATACTTTACATTCCATTATTTTTAATATTATTGATATTATGAATATTATTAATATTATTAACTTTATTATACTTTATTAACATTCTTAATGTTATTGATATTATTAATATGATACATACCGCGGGAGAAGCTGTGCGGGAGACCCCCGCCGCTTTCCTTCTTCTGCCACAAACATCCCCCCGTGGAACCCTGGCTGACAAACAAGCCTGGGCACTGCCGAAGCTCGGCCCTATACCTTCAATGAAGCTCCCAGTACAGATTTGTGACTATCGGAGCCGAGGAGCGCGGAGAAGGGGTTGTAGTATGCCTCACGCACTGGCGAATCGACTTAGGGGAGTGTTCTGAGAGTGGCAAGCTTTGCAAGGTCCACGAAGACAAGTCCCTTTGCGGGAGGAATCTAAGGGCGCGGCCCAAACCATCTTGTCAGGATCCTCCATCGGCTGCGTTGGACTGAGCCTCATGGACCGTGCAGATTTGTAT